AGCCTAGCCTAATCTTCAAGGCGTGCTCGGTGACTTCTCTCAGAACGCCTGGCATGTACGAGGGTCTCCACGCAAAGATGTCTCTATTGGCGCATAGGAAGTCAACGAGCGCGCTTTCCTATTCGGAGGAAAGCATGGTGCCAATGCGCACCACTTTGTCCTCGGAGCCGCTAGGGTCTATGAGGACCTCTTTGGCGCCTTCTACAGGCTCGAAAGACCTGCCCGACCGCTTAGGGTCGGGCGTTTCTTCGACGATCTCCTCCCTGATGGCTGCAAGCTCTTTGGAGGCGACAATTGTCGTGGCGTGTTCGTAGCACTCAACCTCGCACTCGTAGGTGCGCTGGAAGGAGGTGCCGACTCAGAAGGTGTTCCAACCACGTTCGTGCCAAATCAACCAGGAACAATGGAAGGTTGCGGATAATGAAATCGTCATTATCCGCTCCACCGGCTTGGCAAGCAAGCCAATAATCCTCGAGCCACAGTCCGGGGTTTGTTTCCCCAGAGTATTTTGAGATGTTGGTTGGCGGTCGGTACCGCGGTGGGAAGGCGGCGTTGAGGATGTGTCGGCCAAAGGCCTGAGGTCCCAACAAGTCGAGGCTCGGGCTTCAGTCTTTGTCACTGTCGTAGCGTCCACCACGACGAGGGTGGAAGCCGTGACTAGCCTCCTCCCTCACATTGCCGCGGGTACGCCTACGGGCATCGAGGGTGTTGCACGCGTCATGGTGGAGGCTAAGATGTTCATGCACTGGGACCACGGCGCGTGGCCTGTCGCCTTGCGGCACCTGGTGGACTGACACGTTCCTATTGGGTTGCTCTGAGGGCGCACGCTAGCTGACATCAAGCTCATGTCATCAGGACAGCGAGCTCTCAGCCTGTTGCACCGCCGCACGCTCGAGTTGTGTACGAATCTCGTGATGGGCCCGACGATCCTCGAGTGTCGTGAGCCCTGGAAGCCTCCAGAGCAAGGCCGCCACAGCAGCAATGTTCTGGCTTGCCTAGGTGAAGTGTGGGAGGGCTTTGTCATCCCCGATGATCCTCCAGTTCATGTCACGGGCCATGGCGCGCACACGCCCACCGTCTCTGTGGCGCTCGATCTCTCATTCGAGCTCCGCGCGTTCCTGCTCGAGCTAGAGTTGTGCTTCCTCGAGCTCTTGGTGCTAGGCCTTTAGCTGCTCTACCGATAGGCAAGGTGGGGTCCCTGCATCCCCCTCGACCTCATCGTCAAAGCCGATCATTGGGGTAGCCTCTCATGGATGCTTTCGACATACCCCTCGGGGGTACCTACCATGAAACATTCACGAGAGGGGTGATCGCTCCCCCTGCTGGAGTCAAAGTTGGAGGGCGACTCCGATTCTCCTGTGAGGAGATCGTGGAAAGATTCCATAACATATTCGGTCATCCCCACGAACTTGTCATTCATGGAGGATGGGGGCGTGCGTTGTGCCACAAGGTGGCCAACGGTCTCGGTGGCGTTGCGCAGACCGAACGGGAGCGCTGTCAGGGCGCTACGGATGAGGTATTTTGGGGAAAATGGCTCTCCTCCAGCAAGCTACGTCATGACGTTGGCGAACGAGAAGGTGAGGCGGCCTAAGTCCTCCCAGGATGGTCAGGGTCCTAGGAAGTCACCGAGCTGGCGTTCTAGCCGCCCGTAATCAAAACCGAGGGCTGGTCGCTCCCGGGGGCATGGGCCTCCGGTGTGTGCAGCCGTAGCTCCTCAAGCGCCTCGGTGATCGCGTTGAGGCTGGCTGAGTGGAGAGGTTGGATGGCGACGGGAGCTTGCACCAACTCTCCCCCGTCATGACGATGAAGTCCAGGTTCCCAAAGCGCACATGCGCGCCTGGGACCCAGCTGACGCCGTGACTAGCCATCCGAGGCCTAATGTGGACATCGAGACGCGCAAAAAGCCCCTACCTGGCGCGCGCAACTGTTGGTGTTTTGAGTTACCAACTAGTAAATTTCTAGTATTGCGCATCTGGCTCGGGCAGAAAGTCCCTACGTCCAGTTCGTCGCTGCTGCTCATGTTACTAGCACTGAAAGTTTATAGTAGGGGTTATAAACGAGCGAGAGAGGGATATGTCCCAAGTCTCTGATGTGCGTGTGCTCCTAGGCGTGTTATGGCGTGTGTTTTGATGTCTACAGTTGTGTAGAGTGGTGAACTGTCATCCTCCCTCCTAGGGCGTCCTGCTTCCCCTTTTATAGACGAAGGGGAAGAGTAGGTTACATAGAGAGAAAGAGGGAGAAGAGCCAAGGAGAGGAAGGTTTCTAGGACCGCCGGGCCTTTCTTCTCCTTTATGCGGGTCCCACCGACACTGTAGATGGTGATAGGGATGGCTCCACGCCGGGCGCCTGTTCGCCGCGGATGCCACGCCCCAACGTTATCAGCGGGTCGTGATGTCCCATTCTGTCCCGGCGGGCGACGTGGCGAACTAGTGTGCTGGTCAGCGGCCATACAGGGAGTAGGCAGCATAGTGACCACGTGTCCGTCATTGTTGGTGATGTGAGTTCCCTAGAGTGACATGTCGCGGGCACGAGTCATGTTGAGATGTGCCCGCTCCCTGCACGATGCCAGAAGTTTGACCTTGGGTTGTACTTTCTGGCCCGTAGTGGTTGGCGGTGGTACGGGCTTCCGTCAGGAGCCACGCCTGAGGGGTCGGGCGAGACGAAGTCCCCGACCCAGAGGCCGGGTGAGGCGGAGCCCCCGACCCAGAGGTCGGGTGAAGCGGGGGCCTTGACCCAGAGGTCGGGCGAGGTGGAGCCCGCGCACCTAGGGGTCGGTTGGAGTTGTAGTCGCGCTCTTGACTGCTCGGATGAATCAATTTTGATGACCATTAGCTTCTCCTCTTCGGGTACCCTAGTATTGGTCCCCGACACTAACCATTACAAAAGAAAGTGATAACGACAACTTCATAGCCGTTGATGGTGACGACATAAGTTTAAAAAACCTTGGTTAGTGTTTTGCGTCTAGCTTTAGCAAATCTTGATGATTCCTAGGCATTAAATAAACACTATACAATTACAAAGTCCTAAAGATTTCTCGGCATTAGATAAATGTCATACGGTTATAGAGTTCTAAAGATTTCTAGGAATTAAATAAACCTTATACGGTTATGAAGTCCTAAAGATTTCTAGACGTTAAATAAACATCATACGGTTAAGGAGTCCTATAGATTTCTAGGCCTTAGCTAAACATCACGATTATGGAGTCTTAAAGATTTCTAGATATTGTATAAGCGCCATGCGACAAAGTTTTGAAGATTTATAGGTATTAAACAAATAGTGTCTCTGTTCCAAAGTATAAGACGTTTTGGTTTTTTAGATACATTATTTTTACTTCTTGATTGTATCAATATGTGCAAAAGAGGACATCAAATTACTTGGATGTCGAATTGCCTGCCAATACGAATTTTTGACAAGGAAGTTTGAAATTTCTTAATACACCAAGAATGAAATCTCCTTCAACCAATATGATATATTTAGAAATGCTTGCATGTGCGTGTAGACATGGTTGTGAAACATTACAACTAACACAGAAAACTTTATTGGCATTAATGATGACAACGAAAGCTAAAATGAATCTCATGTAGTGTGCCACAAGTTGCTCTAGCAATTAACAAAGCAGACACACTATAGTCCTAACAAACAGTTAAAAATATAATAAGATTTTGGTGTTAGAAAATATTATAGTGAGAGATCTCCTTTAAAGATGGGTGATATTTCTTATTTCTTATAATGCTTCAAGATTTTACTTGTCGCATAGATGCTCTTGGTGTATCCTCTATCTATATTATCGATTTGCCTTCTTGACTGTATTAACATGAGTAAAGGGGAACATCAATCCCTGCTTGGATATCTAATTACAAAAAAACATCAATATTGGACAAGTGGATTTTAATTTCATAATGCACTAATAATCGTGACCACCTTCTACAATGGCGATGTATTTGGAAATTTGGAAATGCTTACTTGTGTATGCAAACATGGTCACTAATCATTACAAAGAAAGCGATAACGACAACTTGCTAGCCGTCGATGATGAGACATAAGTTGAAGAAACCTTGGTTAGTGTTCCGCGTCTAGCTTTAGTAAATCTTGAAGATTTCTAGACATTAAATAAACGCTATACGGTTACGAAGTCCTAAAGATTTCTCGGCATTAGATAAACATCATGGTTATAGCATTCTAATGATTTCTAAGTATTAAATAAACCTTATACGGTTACGAAGTCCCAAAGATTTCTAGAAAGTAAATAAACATCGTGCAGGTTATGGAATCCTAAAGATTTCGTCACGGCTACAGAGTCTTAATGATTTCTAGATATTATATTAGTGCCACATGACAAAGTTTCGAAGATTTACAGGCATTAAACAAATAATCCCTCTGTTCTAAATTATATATTTTTTTATTTTTTTTCTATATATATATATATATATATATATATTGAAAGCTATGTATCTGGATAAATCAAAATGTCTTATATTAATAATGAGGGGGTAATATAGGAAGAAATCATTTCAGACATGTTCTGTGTTCAGTGGTATAACAAACCATTTCTCTGCTACTGTACCATTTATTAGTGACTTCCCCTCGACCTGCGCTTGTTCTTCCTCTACTCAACTTCCTTCTCAGCACGAATTCATTTCACCGGCCTTCGGGGCGCCGTCGCGGCCTCCTCCCACCTCCCGCCATCAGCATAAAAAAAAAGAAAAATAAAGGAAATCCCCTCTTCCCCTGACCGCCGCCGTGGCCGCCGAACACATCTCTAGTCAGCTTCTACTGGAGCACGCCACCCCGAATTCTTCTCTCGCAGTCGTTGCCCTCCTCCCCTACCCCCATATATTAAAGCAGGTTCGCAGATCCACCCGGACTTGATCGATTCCTTCTTCTATTTCTTGCGAATAAGGCCCAAGCATTCTTGGATGGACTCCGTCACTGGCTGCGACGGCGGCAAGAAATCGGATTAGGACGAGGTGGGGATCAGGGTATTCGTCTTGGGAAAGGGGATGGGGGGTCTCTGCTCGAAGGTCTCAGCTGTAGACAAGTCACGGAGCGACACCGCGCTTGGCCGGAACCAGGTCGCCGATCATGAGCCCGGGGTGTCGTTGGAGTTGGAGAAGCCGCCGGTGTCCGGAGAGGCAGCTGCGCAGGCAAAGCGGCTGGACGAGCAGCAGCAGCAGCAGTCTTTCTCGTTCCTGGAGAGCGTCGTCCCTGGGGTTGCTTTTCATGCCGGGGCTAACGCCGGCGGCGAAACGGGGTCCAGGACCTCGCCGCAGCTGACCAGGTCGCTGTCGCAGAGGGCTGGTCTGGGCAAGGCAAAAGCCGGTGCTGCCAAGGTTTGAGGAATTCTTGTGCCTCTTGTTTGATCTATGTTTAATTAGACCGCAATATAGCATGTTTTGTTAAGGAGCAGTTGTTCCAAGTGATTCTTAGTCATTTGTTAGATTGCAGCAATATACAGTGTCCCTACGGTACATAAAAACTAAATAATTCTAATCATGATACTATTGTATATTGGGGACAACACTCACTGTTTGTTCAGTATCTATAGTCTTCTTTACCATTTGACTAGGAATAGTTCAAGAAATTTTCTTGTAGCAGGAAACCATGCCATTCTGTATGTCTTATCATTAAAGATCTTATATCTGTATTTATGCTTATTAGCAACCTGGCAAAAGAAATTGAGTTGTTAATGTTCTCTAAGACATCTTATAGTTAAAAATTAAATGGTCTATCATGCACAAGCGCAATTGTCAATGCTATTGCATTTTGGCAGCTACATGTGCTTCAATTATCATTTTTTATAGTATACCTCAAAGTCTAGGTTAGTGCTGTGTTTATGTTGGAGATTGTTAGTTAGGCATCTCTATCATTCATATTGGTTCCTTTCCTGTATTGAAACAGGTTTCAGAAGTGAGCTCAATTTTAGGTAGAGCTAGAACTGTTGGGCTTGAAAAGGCAGTGGAGGTTCTAGACACACTCGGCAGTAGCATGACAGGTTTAAATTCTAGCAGTGGTTTTGTGTCAAGTTCTGCAGCAAAGGGAAACAAAATAGCCATGCTGGCTTTTGAGGTGGCAAATACTATAGTTAAAGGCTCTAATCTGATGCGTTCTCTATCGGAGCCTAGCATAAAGCATCTGAAGGAGGTGGTGCTTCATTCAGAAGGTGTTCAACACCTTATATCGAAAGATTTTGATGAACTGCTCAAGATGGCAGCTGCTGACAAAAGGTTTGTGCTTGGTGTTCACTTCATATCATGTAACCTAATTTATCCATGCTTGTTGTGTGTGTTACCCTGCTAGATATGTATTGAAAATTGTAGTGTGCCTTTTATTTTTATCTCGAAATCAATACCTTAATTGGTTAATTCCAACAGGGAAGAGTTAGAAGTATTCACAAAAGAGGTTGTTCGCTTTGGAAACCGTTGCAAGGATCCTCAGTGGCATAATTTGGACCGCTACTTTGAAAAGTACAGTTTTTTCTCAGTACCTGAACTTGTCAATGTGTTTACTTTAGGTTACTAACTTTTATTTCTGTTTGGATTCCATTAGGCTGGCATCCGAACGAACACCACAAAGTCATCTGAAAAGAGAAGCAGAATCAGTGATGCAGAAGCTGGTCACTTCGGTTCAAAATACAGTTGTAAGGATGCCCTGATTTGTTTGGCTTCAATGGTTTATTTGCTAGCCTATCCGAACTTGCTTGAGAATAAAAGGATTTTGTTCATGTTATTTCCAGTGACTTTTAATATACAGTGCCATTTTGGCTATTTCTGTATTTCAGCTTGAACCAATAAATAATTTTAAAGACTCTATCTTGGCTGACAGTCAATAAAATACTGTGGTCTCTTTGGGCTGTTGTTGTCAACATTTCATTTTGGTGCCATCTGACCGAATTTTTTTTGGTTCCTCTAAAGTTTGTAGCCAGCGTGATATTTACTGCCAGTTGCAGTATGTCCATGCCAGTTATGCTTTGTATTCCTGTTGTTTCAAAATGTTTGTCAACCTGTAAAGTGGAGTGACACAGTTAAGTTGTGATCATCAGTAGGCGAAGATGTTTCTAATTTTGCCAGATGAAGTTTTTACCACTATATGATTCTTGAAACTTTCATAATGTACAACTTTCTGTTTTGCAACAATGTATTACACAGAAATTAGTAGTCAAAAGTGATGCCAAATGCTGTCTACCTATATTTATTTTCTGAAGTGGCTAGGAACAGTATAATTGTATTATTTTGAATAAGGAATCCCTACTTCCCTAGCACCATTGATGAATTTGTGTGTGTTTTTATCATCTGCCAATTTGGCCTTCTTATTCTGGTTATTAATATCACATTACTTATTTATCTTCTCTTCCTACTTTTTTGCACTCAGGAATTATATCATGAATTGCATGCTTTGGATAGATTTGAACATGATTACCGTCTTAAACAGAGAGAACAGGATAGCTTGAGTTCAAGAGGTCAGTTTCATCAACTTCAAATGCGGAAGTAAATAAATATTATGGCTGCAGTATAAACAACTTGTTTCAGATTCTGCTCAATTTCCACGGGCATTTAAGCAGTAGGATATAAAAGTGTCTGCACTTTTCTGAACGATACATTGTCATTTACTTCTACATCTCATCCCATTCTGTGAATAGAGTTAGTTTGAACTTCTAATGAATTAGGGACAACCTGTGATTCCTTTGCAGGAGACAGTCTGGATATACTGAAGCAGGAAGTGAAGGTTCAGAGTAATCACGTTAAGAGTTTGAAAAAGAAATCACTTTGGTGCAAGAATTTGGAAGAGGTTGGTATGAGGTGCCTTTGCACAAAACTGTTATATTACCAAATGCTGGCAAGGGAAGACATTTTTAGGATATTGGTTACTACTAAAACATTTTAGGACCCTGCTCAAACTGCAAACATCCTTTCCTACCATCTTATTTCAAGGTCTAAATATTACATTTTTTCTCAGGTGATGATAAAGCTTGTAGATATTGTCCACTTCTTACATTTGGAGATGTACAACGCCTTCGGTCGTCCTGGTATAATCCTTACCTATGGATCCTACTTATTGTTGTTGCACAGTCTGAACTGCTGTTGAGTACTAGTGTTTCTTGATTGTGGTGCTTTGTGGAAACAATAAACAAATTTTCTTTGTCTTAATGATATTTCTTATGTTTACTTTATCATATCAGACAGACCCACCCTGGTAACCCCATATATGCTATGAGAATTGAGAATACATTCTGATGTATTTGATTAAGTCTATCGTTCCTGCAATCAGTTGATCAATCCAAAAATCATAAATGGATGACTCCTTTGCCTTTATATTATACTTCATATTGGCTTTAAGATATTATGAATACTTGAGGTAGTTAATATTTGTTTATTGTTTGTCTTGTTTTGCAAAATACTGATCTAAAAACACTCGAACTAACGCAGGTTACCTGATGCACCTACAATGTTTAGTCTCCTGTTAGCAAAATGTTGGTTTAAACTTAGTTGCAATTCTGGGAGAGTGAAAATGTGCACCCATACCACTATCATATACGATAAATATATGGCGCCCTCCTTATCTGGAGCCGTTGCCAGGCGCACTGAGATTCGCTTTTGACAGAAGCCTGTGACGGTGTTTCTTCCTCCACCTCCCTCATCTCGTGTTTCTCTGCCCCGGTCCGCGCCTCCCTATGAGCACAACCCCCTGTAAGCGTGCGTGTGCCTCCCCATGAGCACGACCCTAGCGCCCCTCTTCGTGATGCTGCAGCTGCCCCTCTTCTTGATGCAGCGGCTGGATCCAGAGGAGATGGGGAGAGCAGAGGCAGCCGCTCCTCTTAGTGATGCAATAGCTGGAGCCAGGAGGAGATGGGGAGGAGCAGAGGAGGTCGTGGGGAGCGGAGGCAGCTGTTGGATCTGCCCCTCCTCCTCGTGATGCAGCAGCTGGAGGCTAGGAGGAGACAGGGAAGAGCAGAGGAGGTCATGGGGAGGAGAAGGGCCATGGCTGGCATGCTTATTGGCGGTGAGGAAGACGGGCGGCGGTGTGAGCAGTGAGGAAGAGAAAGACGGCTCCGTTAGCTCTGTGTTGCTTTCCATTTATTTCTATTAATTAAGATGTACGCTCCAGATAAGGAGGGCGCCAAATCCACTCTCTATCATATATTTGTACAGAACTTGCATGGTTTCCTCCTGTTATTAGAAATGTAATGTTTGACCCATATAAACTGCAGAGTGCATCTATTTCCTAACTTCATTGCTAGCCATTGCTGTGACTTGTCCAACGATTTTTTTCCCTTTTTGGGTAAAAGATGTCTTTCTTGCCTACATGCTAAGAAACTCTTTTCTTTCCCCATTTTTTCCTTGGTAATGTTACTGAAGCAACAATGATTCTTGACTCCATGATCTGTGGCATTGCTCTAAAGTTTCTTGCTTCTATCTTACTGCAGACAGTGAAGAGCCACAAGAAACTGCCAAACACCATAATAGATTGGGACCAGCAGGCCTCGCATTGCATTACGCTAATATCATCAATCATATTGACAATATGGTAAGTTCACATACTCTTCCAGATATCTTATTGAACTATATTGTTATTAGAAGATAACTTTTTTTTGACAATATATTAGAAGATAATTTGGTGAACCTTCTACGTCAACCATATTTATTGGAATAAGTCTTTCAATCAAATCCCATTGCTTGTTTGAAGACTCAGAAAATGAGCACTATTACAAGGACTGTAACCAATTGTGGTTTATTCTATAAATTGGCATCACATCCTTTGGTGGCAGCTTTGTCTTCATGTGATGAACGCTTTGACTTCAGTTTCTTTACAATATATTAATAAGGATTGATCGATTGGTAGGTCTCTCGATCATGTGCAATGCCTCCAAACGCAAGGGATACGTTATATCATAGTTTACCACCTACCGTCAAATCTGCTCTCCATTCTAAGCTACAATCTTTTGAAGTCAAGGAAGAGGTATGCCAGGCTGGAGTCTCAAATTTGCTAATTGCTATTATTATGAATGCACAATAAGAATCTATATGCTATGCTGTGCACCTGAACATAATTCTGCTAAATGAATGCAGCTTACAGCTTCTCGGATCAAAGCAGAAATGGAGAAGATTTTGCGATGGCTTGTCCCTTTTGCTAGTTACACAAATAAGTAATTAATCTCACCTAATCACCTATGATCTGATGATTTACAGCCACAATGATTATTCATATTGTACTTCAAATGTTATTACTTGTTCATACCAGGGCACACCATGGCTTCGGTTGGGTTGGAGAGTGGGCAAATACAGGGTTAGCATCTGTACAATCATTCTACACAGAAATTGATGAAACTGAAGTTTCTCAGTGATGTAAATGGAAAATGATGAAACTATGATTGGTCACTGACAATCTCTTTTCTAATGCAGATCTGAATTAAACTGCAAGCTATCAGGGCAGATGGACATGTCCCGAATTGAGACACTGTATCATGCTGACAAGGAGAAGACTGAAGCACTTATCCTGGAGCTGGTTGTGTGGCTTCATCATCTTATCAGTAAATCAAGAAACGCTAGTGGAGGTGTAAGGTCTCCCATCAAATCTCCAGTCAGCTCACCAACACAAAAGGGTGCTGCAATCAAACCGTTGCCAGGCAAAACAAACAATTCACCACCGATTCTCACCCAAGAGGATCAGGATATGCTAAGGGATGTTAAGTACAGGAAATTTGTCCCAGGAATAAGCAAAAGTCAAGAGTTTGACACAAAGTCAAGTCACAGCAAACAGAGTAGGTTGAGCAAGAGCAACAGCCACTCTCCAGCCAGTGGCAACAGGAAAGACTTGCTCCCAGTTAGGAGGCCTTCCATGCTTCCAGTTATTGACTTCGAGATTGACAGGACCAAAGCTTTAGATCTAATTGACAGGCTTGACAACCTAAAAATACAATGAGCATTGAAGCTAACTGGAACGGAAACCTGAAATTTATGTGGTCATCCGCAGTCTTGAAACCCCAGCCGCGATATAAACAGTTGTCGTGTATCAGCAGCAAGGCCGCCCGTTAGACTCTGGTGAGAAGCTAACAGTATGAGAAGCTGGTATCGTATGTCCTGTACCGAATAGAATAGGAGAAAAAATGTTGTAAAAATTACCTGTCGTTTCTACCTGTACAAGAAATGGAAAGTGCAAGTTTTGATAAAGAAAAGGGACTAAGGGAGGGCAAAAAGGATCTAGGTGTTCTATGTTTTCATGGCCACTAGGCCGGAATAGTTTGTATGAACCGTAGTATCATTTTTTTTTTCATAAAACTTAAAAGCAGGGAAACCGTAGTGTCAATTTACCCAGTTCCCCAATCTAATAGATCATCCAGAAGTATAGGAGCAACTAAATTATGAAACATTGCAACATTATTTTATTCCTCAAACCTAATTCCATTACATAGACACATAGTTGAGCTCAGTCAACCTATCATACAAATCAGCTCGTTTGCTCTGGACTGTCTAATAACAGCAGGAGCATTTCTAAAGTATCGTGTCTTTGAATCATTAGATGGACAGCTATTCTGAATTAATTCCTCGTATAGGTGCAGGTCCAGGGAAAACTGTCCTAGAGTGGTGCCACGAACGACACTAAATTGTATTGTGATATGAACAAGCACATGTCTTTTATCTAAGGATCTCTGATATCCCCATTGTTCATGTTGGAGGTCTCTCCAGCGCCACCCATCCAAATTTGCCTTTCCTGTAGTCCGACAATATGCGGAAAGCCGCCTGGCTTGTGTCTCCATTGAACAAGTGAACCGAGAGCTTTTTGACAAACCTGCAGCTTATTAAAAACTTTATCAGAACATTAACTCCTAGTACTATGTCAGAAGGGCTTCTTTTTTTGGATAAAGAACTAGAGAGGATCAGTCAAAGCATACGTTTGACCGCACTCGCTATCTACATCAATCCTATATCGTCTTCGAAATGCTTCAGAACCTGTTTGACATGAGTCCATCAGCAATGAATTTAGACAAGCACAAAGCACAAGCATCAATACTTCATGAAACAACAGCATGCAAATGTCTGATTCTAAAAAGCAGACTGATCTTTAGGATGTATTACTATCATCTTGTCTCTTAGCTGTAATGTATCACTCACTCTAGTTGCAAAATAAGTGATGTTTTGAGGTTGTCCGAAGTCAACCATTTCCAAACCTTGTTTATAAATTACTTCTTGTGTTAGAATTTGGACACGAAAAATGATGAGTAGATTTGTTTCAAAACATAACTTCATAAAAGTATAGTTCTGTAAGTACTAGTCAAAGTTGTTCTGAAGACCATGTGGATGTCGAAAACACCACTTATTTGTGATTGGAAAGGGGGGGGAGGTAGTCGTTAGCTTATAAGAAAACTGACCTACTCCAGGATGTCTTGTCAACATCTGCACAAGAATTGCCGCCACATCAGCGAAATCGTATGACCTTTCTCCAATATCATCACATATAGCAAGCTTGATTGCAGATGTCTGGTCACTAATTTGCATAGGCAAAATTCCAGGTGAATCTAACAACTCTAGGTCTGTTCCGAAACTGTGATGGTATAACCCTAGGTACCCACGGCAATGGATATGGGTCGCACCACCAGGGGAGGTCCAGCCCATAAGATCAAGGTCTACGGTGCTCGGCTCTGGTCGGCGTGCACCACAAGGCAATCAGAAGAATCTTAAAGATAGAGAAGAATCTGTTCGGATATGATAGATATCGTATTCCTTATAAATACTTACCATTTAGCCAAATAGATCTAGATCTAACTGACTTGTAATTCTGTCCCCCAAGACTATATAAGGCGGGCAGGGATCCCCCTCGAAATCATCTCATATTCAATACAATCAACCAAAGACACAGGACGTAGGGTATTACGTCGATCAGACGTCCTGACCTGTCTAAATCTTGTGTCTTGTCACCATCTTGCTCCGGATCTCGCTCACCTCTATGACAAATCTACCATCGCGGGATACCCCTTAGTGGACTGCCGAGCATCTTTTGTCGACAGTTGACGCGCTAGGTAGGGGTGTGCGCTTGATCCCATGACGAGCCAGATGGCATACCTCAAGATCAACAACCTTTGCGGCAACTCGGTTGATCGAGTCGACATCCTTCAACAACCACGGCGCATCTCCGAGCAGCACGCGTCACCAAGTCTAGGCGCTGCTATCTCTGCAGCGACTGAACCAATCGGCTACCGGCGGCCCAACAGATGGCAAGTTCGAATCGGCAGAGGAATCTAGACGAGGTCACGCTGCTCAAGCCGTTCGCATATCGCCAGTTTGGTATTCGATGAAGGTCGCTTCCCTGCACGACATCAAGCTAACCTCCTACTCCGCCTATGGGAATTTCACGACGCAATGGAGCCGGCTGCCGGCGGAGCTAGCGGTGTGCGTGGGCCCGCACCACGCAGAGGCCGGTGCCGACTCCTAGGCTTCATCGACACGCCAAGCCGCATCCACACGAGACTACGGGAGTCCTACTCCGACCCAATCAAACATGCACAGGAGTCCTACAATTGGATCGGACATGCATAATGATTGGTTGCCAGCACATGCAAAATCCTAAGACTCTGTTTGGTTTTTATAGACGCTCCTAAAATTTTTGTCACATCAAATATTTAGACACATGCATGGAGTATTAAATATAGACTAATTACGAAACTAATTACGTAACTTACGACTAATTTGCAAGATAAATCTTTTAAGCCTAATTAGTTCATGATTTGACAACGTGGTGCTACAGTAAATATGTGCTAATGACAGATTAATTAGGCTTAAAAAATCATCTCGCAAATTAGCCTCCATTTATATAATTGGTTTTATAATTAATCTATATTTAATGCTTTTTATTAATATGGTATGTACGGTTTTCATCAATGCAAGGACAACACGTCTGCTTGCGCATCACTACATCCAATCTGCAAGCCGTGAGCCGGACTCGACAGTGAGGCGCCCGAGCTACCAAAGCCATCAAGTGAGCCGCTAAGCGAGCTGCCCGTGTTGTCGACCAGTAACATAAGGACGACGTTGCCTGGACTACTTACTCCGACCACCTGCCGCGTCGCAATGAGGATCGCCGCGAAGAACGGCGCCGTGACAACCACGACAGCCACCATGATGTCAGTTCGGAAAGCTCGAGGCCCGAGCAATTTCTTCAACGCCGATCAGATAACGACATACGCCATCGACCAGACGTTCTGTCTAAAGCTAAGTCACACTTTAATATTCTTCTAAATATTCTCCAATCCTCGTATATCGCCATAATGTTTCTCCGAATTGTTTTCTCCATGTTTGTTCTCCAAACGATTTTCTTTCATATATACCATCTTAAAGATGACATACAGCTAAGTCTAAGGCAAATCCCCAAACAGTCATGTTGATGCTTGGATGTTCCCAGAGATGGTCCTGTCTTCGACCTCTCCCTATACGTGCACGAGCGTCTGCCCTCTGCGTTACGGGTGGTCCGCAGCGGCTCCTTGGCGACGCTTTGTTCTTCCTACACGCACACGGGCTCCGCGCTTCGCATTATGGTTAACAGGCTAGCTAGGACTGGAGACTCAGCTATACACTAACTGGTCGGACGGTTTATATTAAATATAAACACATCTTCAGAATAACACTAAGTGTTCACACCAACTCATCACCGAACTGCATACGCTATTTCATCACCATTGAGTTCATATATTTTTACATCATATACTACCTAAAGGGCGGGCCTAGTGCAAGCGGTAGAGCCTTATCGCCTGTGACCAGAAGGTCCCGGGCTTAAGTCGCAGTCTCCTCGCATTGCACAGGAGAGGGTAAGGCTTGTCACTGACACCCTTCCCTAAACCCCGCACAGAGCGGGAGCTCTCTGCACTGGGTACGCCCTTTATATACTACATATTCTACACATTTGTTTCGCAGGGGCACGGCTCGGTCAACGAGCTTACGTTAAGGGACTGGACAAGATGATCATCGTCTGGGTGGTCGGACCACCTATTGGACGGACTTCACCGCCAACCAACTGGTTGGATTGCTCGGAACTCACTCTTGCTCGGCGTTCACTTCACCGCCGACCAGTTGGTTGAATTACTCATCGCATGTACTTCATCATCCGCTCGCTGGGGGCTCGCCAGCTACGCTGGGGACTCCTCGGTGTTTGGGTTCTTCGTGCAAGCGTCACTAGCTAAGCCGGGGACTCCTCGGCGTTCGGGTTCTTCGTGCAAGCGTCACCAGCTAAGCCGGGGACTCCTCGGCGTTCGGATTCTTCGTGCAAGAGTCACCAGCTAAGCTGGGGACTCCCTTAGTGGATCATCGCCCAGGTGGTCGGACCACCTGGTGCTCGGACTTCTCCACCGATCAACTGGTCGGACCGCTAGGATTATGGACTTCGTCGCTGACCAGTTGATCAGACGGTTCGTCGGTCAGTTCTACTCAACGCTCACTTCGCCGCCGCCCAGTTGGTTGGGTTGCTCAGCGCTCGTTTCTTCGCCAACCAACTGGTTGGATTGGTCGTTGCTTCATCGTCAGCTACGCTGGGGGCTTACCAGCTAAGTTGGGGACTCCCTTGGTGGTCGGACCTTACTACGTCTCATCGGTGTGCTATCAAGCTGCTCCATGCTGTTCGGATCAGGGTGCTGATCTTGGGCAGCACGTCTGGGGTGCTGATCTTGGGCAGCACGTCTGGGGTCTTGATACGTGCATGTCAGATGACGTCGGCAAGCTTTCAAGCTTCTTTTCTTTGACCCTGCTACAAGATTCATTCTTCATCTTCCAGCAGGATCGGGGACTAAGTGGCTACACTCCACTTGACGGTGAATATAGTGCTTATTTCTTGATTTACCCTTCTTATTGATGGAGTCTAAGTGGCTACACTTCTCCTAAGGGGAAGAATTTTTAAATTTTATCTTGAGCCCCTTACATCCTTCTGGCAAGCTTTACTTGGCTAAGTCCGAGGTCTCCTTACCAGTTAAACTGGTCGGCTTTGATTTTCACCGCCCAGGTCACCAGTTAAGCTGGTCGGCTTTGACTTCCACTGCTCGGATCACCAGTTAAATTGGTCGGCTTCACGTCAAACTGCTCGGACTTGTTCAAGACAGCGTTGCTCAAAGGATATAAGGCGCTCGGGGACTAGCTGTGTGGGGTATAACCTCAGGTACCACAGGCAATGGACATGGGTCGCACCACCAGGGGAGGTCCAGCCCATATCATCAAGGCTTACGGTGCTCGGTTTTGGTCGGCGTGCACCACAAGGCAATCAGAAGAATCTTGAAGATAGAGAAGAATCTGTTCAGATATAATAGATATCGTATTCCTTGTAAATACTTACCATATAGCCGAATAGATCTAGATCTAACTGACTTGTAACCCTGTCCCCAGACTATATAAGGCGGGCAGGGACCCCTCTCGAAATCATCTCATATTCAATACAATCAATCAAATACACAGGACGTAGGGTATTACGTCGATCAGACGGCCTGGACCTGTCTAAATCTTGTGTCTTGTCACCATCTCGCTCACCTCTACGACAAATCTACCATCGCGGGATACCCCTCGGTGGACTGCCGAGTATCTTTTGTCGACACGAACCCACCTGTTCAGTCTCAAATGTTAGAAGCTCAATAGTGCAAATACAGAATTGTTTTGTATGAGTAAACAATACATATACATTACGTTTCTTCAAACCAATTGTAAAATTACATGTATGCATCTACTATAGCTTACTTCAGCTCTCTTGTGACACCTAGCCTAGGTGCTGCTGGGCACATTCTTCGTTTTCGCAAGCGATTAATCAAGGAAGATTTGCCAACATTTGGATATCCAACTATTCCAGCTCGAACCTTAAGGCAAAACAAAAACAAGCAGCCAAATAAACATGTCTGGTTGATCACTATATTTATCTTGAATAATCAGGGTATTATTAAGCTTCAAACAAGTTCCAAAACACTAGTATATATGAATTTACAGAAAATTGGGTTACTATAGTCAGAAGGAAATGGTCTTGAAACTGCCTAGTTCAAACCAAAATCTACGAGTGTTATGCTAATCGTTTGGAAAGAAGACTTGAGTTCTATGATGTCTCAAGCAAGTCCTGTCCCATACTAATTTGCACAAAATGAGTAACTAAATGAACCAATGAAACACGAGGAACCAACAGGATATCAAATGGATTACCGGACGAGGAAGTAATCCCTTTTCCTTTCTCTTTGTGTTCACAACAGATGCTACTGATTTTGCCATCCTACCTAATTTCATTGTACCCTGCACTCCAGCAAAGGAAATGGTGGCAAGTGAATGATATAAGCATCAGCGAATCAGCCGGATAGACCAAATCAGTTAGCTGCCAGGCTATCTTACCATGCCCAGCTGGCCATTGGAGAAAACAACTTTGGTGCCCTGATTACCAAAGTAAGTAGCCCATGCATTCCTATCCTCAGTTGAGATCATGTCCTCACGATTCAAGACTATGATCCTTTTCCAGTTGCCTAGCCATGCGTCCATTTGATCATACATAACATGACTCAGTACAATTTGAAGTTGTTCTTTTGTAAAGGTAAATATGAGCAATCACCAAAAGCATGACCTTAGGATGGCTGGTGGACAAGGGAATCCGAGCATCACGGATCTCTATAACAACATCCATGAGCCTCAATTGTTCCTTCAATTCTTTCTCTGTTTTTGCAATATGACCAGGATACCACTGTGAATTGGCAATTGAATAGGAAAAATGAATATGTCAGACATTATCTTATTTTACGGTGCATATGGTGGTGAGCTCGTATGCTTGTTAGTGACTTAATTCCACTAATGCACACCTTATGTATACCTGCACTGGGCGCAGGGATCTGGTCCAGTAACGCAAATCAGCATCCAAGGTTTCCCAGTAGCTCTCTTCTTTAAACTCCTCGTCGGCATACTGCGAGAGGCCTAACCTCTCTTTCTCATACAAACCAAGCAATGTGTCACCAGCAGCAACCTAATAATCCACCATAGCATGAGCAAAGCAAACAGAGTGCATCAGATGGATGCCTATGACTGTGTTGCGCCTAATACAACTTATAATTGTTGCAAACAGTACCAGTAATTCTGAGCCATAATTACTTTTTAAATGGAGCTCTAATACGAATTAGTGATGAGCATGAAGCTTTCAGAGGCAGTTGAAGACTGAAGCTGAGGCATTAGTTAGTCGACAATTGGATGGTAACAGAAAGATATTTACCTAACTATGCTTTTGGCCCAAGACCTGGTCCGTTTTGGATGTGAATACCGATTTTGTTCTTTTGTAATTTAAAAGTCTGATGATTCGAAGGAACGGGCAGGTTTACAGTGATTCGTTCTTTTCTTCTGTAACCTTGTACGCAACCGCACAGCTACAATCAGTAGTCTGAACTCTGAAGTAGTAGAACTATAGAAGACACCGACTCTGAAACCAATTGTTATAACAAAACACACATATGCAACAACGAAGTTTTTGGGATTTCGCTGTTTCATTCGAAACTTGGCAGCACACATCACAAGGGTTGCTGTAGAACAAGCAGGTTGCAGGGATTTCGAATCAGCACGCCCAAATAGAGCAGCCGAATACAATCGAACATCTCCAAATTCGAGGGCTACCGGAAGCTAAACATCTAACACAATAATCGAATTGAAGCAGCAGAAGAAGAGGAGGGATAAAAAGCAAGAACCGATTGGTGTGAATAAATCAGCCAGCCACGAACCATGGCGGATTCGCCGACTGCGTTGAGAAGCACTCGGCGGGGAAGCGTCCTGAGGGGTAAAGGCCCCGCCTTGATCCTCCACAGCCCCCGAGCCAGCGCCGGCGCGCAAGGAGGTGGTGGGCACGGCCCAGGAAGCGGCAGCCATGGCGATGGGAGAAGGGGAGCGGGGGATAGCCGAAGGGCTTTTTGATTCCTGCCATCGCAATTTTCCAATGTTTGAAGATTGCCATTACAATTCGTCTTATTGGAAGATTGCCATTACAATTCTCGATACCCTGTTCGTTGCCCTCATCTACATCTTCCTTGTACATGACCCCACATGCAGGCTACGTATTTGCGTATATGATTATATTGCCCCTGGCTTCAGGATAAGGCAGAAGCCCCCGTTCATCTCCTTTCTTCTTCTTGTTCGCCCATTTACCATTGCCGTGTCGTCTGTCTCGCTGCTATCACAGCATCGCACCGCCGCCGACGGCCACTTTGGCTTTGACGCTTGCCACTGTTGAGGATGAGTGGCACCCATTATAGGCACCGCCAACGACGCTTCCTCGGCTGTCAGCGAGCCTCGCTGCCGCCGCCGGCTGTGGATTGCCCCCACTGCTTCGTCCAGCTCATACGGATCATAAGCAAGAAGAAGGATACTTATGGCCAAAGCTTTGTGAAGTGCCCTAACAACATCAAAGTAAGTCAATTTCTGTCGAATTTGTGTTCGATTTGGAGTTCTTGGTTGGTGTTCATGCGGCTAGGGTTTCGTTGGATGCAGGACGACCCAACAACATGTGGCATCATCATGTCCGAGGACCAATATGTTGCATTCTTACGCAACAAAGTGCAACTCCCAACTCAGTGGAAGAAGGCGATTCCTCATAGTCCTGGGCACCATGTTGGTGGTTCTGTTGACCACATTCTAGACATGAAGCGAGAGGTGGATGCATTGAGGCGAGAAAATTGATGATCTTGCGTGAGTGATGTGGGTGATCCAAGATCCAAGTACAGAGGGGTGAAAATGGATTATGTTGTGATAGCAGCACTGTGTGTAGGTGTAGCTTTAGGATGTCTTATGAGCAAAATATGGACCTAGTTAATTAAGAATTATTTTGTTAGTCTCTCATGTTGTATGACAATTCTAAGAGGATGAACTAGAATGTATGTATGCTGCCTGCTATATGTCAATGGAATTTAGTTTCAAAAATTATTTGTTGGTCATACCTCATGTATGTTGTCATACCATAACTGAAACTGAGAAAAATTCAGATTGACAGTAGCATTATTCAAAGGAAACTGAAATATTACAAACTGAAATGGCACATCTTGACATTACCATGATTCTACTTCAAACTGACAATAGCATTCCTCACAAGAGCATTGAAGCTTGTTCAAGTTTACAAGCATTAAGAAATTCAGCAAATAGTTTGCTCAAGTTTACAAGCAGCACAGACCATTCATAGGCACCAGTTCACAGTTCACAGCATCCAGTGCACATGTCACAGGCCATTGTAGGCAGCAGTTCACAGTTCACAGCCATCTACAAATTCACAGGCCATTACATAACCAAAACAAGTTCACAAAAGGTTTCACATTCACCAAAAGGGTCATTGTCCATCATCACAACCAAGAGGGTCACTGTCCACCATCACAGATTAAGTCCTTCAGGCTTCTGACGACCTTTGGTGGAGGAGCAGCAGCATCTCTCTTCTGCTTCTTCTTCAAGGGAGTTTTTTTCTTCGTAGGAGTTTTCTTCTTCTTTGTTGCCTTCTTTTTCTTCCCATTTGATGGTCCAGCTTCTTTTTCAAGGGTGCAATCTGTCCTCTTCCTGTACATGTTTTATCCACTAATTAACAGGCATAAACAATTAACAGTCCTAGATAATTAACAGCCTCAAATAATTAACAGCACTAGATAATTGAACTGAAATTCAAGGTAAAGCTAACCTTTTCTTTGTTGTAGCAGTTTCGTCATCCTCTCCAACCATTTCAAGTTTGCAGGTCTTGGCGAAGTGTCCAAAACCTCCACATCTGCTGCATCTCACTTTCTTTTTGTCTGGATTTTTTTCTAGGCACCCTCTTTGTCTTTGAACCTTAGGCCTACCTGCTGCTCTTCCCAGCAGAGGTGGGTGAACCTTGAACCCAAGATCAATTTCTGGCCACTGCGATCTGTCTGGCATTGGTTCAACTCTATCCTCATAGGTAGCTTTGAACCTAGCAACAGAGTAATATTCATGCACAAAATCATCTATGCGCATACCTCTGTTGGATAGTATCCATGCCAAGGCATGCTTGCATGGCTTGCCAGTTACCTGCCATTCCCTGCATGAACACTTGTTATTTTTAAGATCTACTGTGTGCCTTCTCTGGTTGTTCCAGTCATCCAACAGTGTCACCTCTGCAAAGTCATCATCACTAACTTTAACCTTCACAACTTTGAGGTTCTTACTTATAAGGTTCAAGTCCTTCATGACTCCAGGTAGGATTCCTTCTGCCCATTTCTGTGCAATCTTCTTTCTTATGTACCTTTTCTCCATTATCAACTCTCTTATCATGTCAACTAACTCATGGAGATGAAGTCCTTTTAAGTCCTTGATCTGAGCATTGAAGGACTCAGAGACATTATTAGTTAAATAATCACATTTACTATCCTCAGAGAAGCCACTTCTGTACCATATCCTAGGATGATACTCTTGAAGGTAGTCAATTGCAGCTGGAGCAAACTGAAAGATTTTCTTCATATGCCACTTGAACATGCCTTCTGTGTAGCTCCTTGCAGCAGGGTACAGGTGGTCAGTGAAAACATCCCCTGAGTAGTGTTTCATGAAGTTGTTGTACATGTGCCTAGTACACTCCCTGTTTTCAGCTTGTGGGAAAACAGCCCCCACAGCTTTCTCTAATCCTTTACAAGCATCTGAACATAACACAAGTCCTGGAGGGTCTCCTATGGCACTGTGCAAATTCTCTAGGAACCACTTCCAGTTGTCCTCAGTCTCTGAGTGAAACACACCAAATGCAATATGATATAACCAGTTGTGCCCATCTACACCTGTTGCAGAAGCCAACTGTCCAGTATACTTTCCATTCAGAAAAGAAGCATCTACTCCTACAAAGGGTCTACAACCTGCTAGGAATCCATCAATGCAAGGCTTCAAAGCAACAAAAATCCTCTTGAACCTATTCTTTTTACCAACCTTCTCTAACTCTATCTCTACTCTACTTCCAGGTGAACTTATTTCTAGCTGTGCAACCCAGTTGAAAAGAAGGTGAAAGCTTTCCTCATACTTACCATGTATTTGATCCAAGGCAACCTTCAAACCAGACCAAGCTTTTGAGTACTTCAGCTTAATTCCATAGTCACCTTCCAATTTGTCCTTTGCATCCTTTGCTCTCTTTGTTGGGTTTTTCTTAATCCAATCTCCAAGCCTATCTGCACACCAGCCCTGACTAGCCATCCTTCCTACTGTTAGCTTGGTGGTAGCACACTCGTGGTCTGCAGGCAACACTTTGATCTGTACAACAGGGAATAAAAAAATTAATTAACTAAATAAAATATCCAAAGAAATGGTAACAGAGAGAATGATACATCACAAATCTGAAAACAAATGTACCTGTACAGTTTTCTTATCAAAAATGGTGGAAGCATGTATACGCCAAGGGCACCTCTCAGCAACACACTTAGCTATGAACCTTGACTTGTCAGATTTGTAACCAAAGACTGAAAGAAACTCAAACCCGATCTTCACAAACATAATGTCGAATTGCTTTCCGAATGAAGTGATATCGAAACAACGCTCCCTTCACAATCTTTGGGTTCTCGTGGTCATGCAAGACATTGATCTCTAGAGGATCAAGATCATCCACCTCTGCCTCAACATTTACAAAGTCAAATGATGGATCGCCAGTAGAGTTTAGTGTTAGCATTGTCAAACGATGGATCAACATGTGGCTGTGGAAACTCAGTTTGGTGTGTAGGTTCTTCATCATACATGGCCTCATCATCAATTCCCACATATTCTTCTTCGTTATCAAAAATATCTGGTTCTCTATCTGGTTCTAACTCAGAAGCTGCCTTTGGATTCTTAGGAGCAGCATGCGGCTCATTTGTTGGCTCAGTACCACCACTAGTATGTTGTGTAAGAAGGTTAACATCATGAGTGCCTAATTCTGCGACATCATCAGGAGGAACCATACAGAGAGGCTCCAGTGCATCAAACTCATGCTCCACACAGATTGAACTATCAAATACACCTACTACAACCTGGCAAGTCATCTCCTCCTTATGCATTTCAAACAAATCAACCATCTGTATCTCATCAACTAGTCCGGCATCCTCATTTAATCTTTTGTCAAAGAACCAAACTATAGGCGTCTGGTTATTGCACAGATTCAATTCAGTTGCCAGATGTTTCAACAGCAAGTCTAGTGTCAGTGACCCATACTCCACATCCAACTTAAACACTCGGCCTTTTGTGTATAATTTCCTACCACTCAAGTCTTTTGAAGCAAAAGCTTCAACTTTGACCTCTAGCGCAAACATCCCATCCCTAACAAGCAGTAAATCCATCCCCAGTCGAAGTGTATACATGCACAGTTCATCAACAATACAAGGAAATTAAACGCCTAATCGCCAACTTTGATGAGCAAACGGAGAAGAAAGGCGAAGATTGGGTACCTGCTACCGCGTTCCTCCATCGTCGCCGCAGCAGTGGATGCGCACGGAGGCGCGGAGCCTGCGCTTCCCGCCATCACGGTGCCTCCAACATCGCCGGTGGCCGCCAGGTTAGGGTTCGACGTTGACTCCAGCGGGTGGAAGAGGCTCCGGCGGTGGCTGGTTTCTAGGGTTAGGGTTCCTGAGGAGGGGGACGGAGATGGAGAAGAAAGCTCAAGGGGAACGGAGATGACCGGGGGGTAACGAAGAGGAGCCGCTGCGGCTTCAAAGACTTAGGGAGGAGGGGCATCGGCGTCCATACGCATTGCGTATGCATCCGACGGCCTGACAATGGGCCCTAGCTGATCGGATACGTAGATGAGGGCAACGAACAGGGGTATCGAGAATTGTAATGGCAATCTTCCAATAAGACGAATTGTAATGGCAATCTTCAAACCTTGGAAAATTGCGATGGCAGGAATCCAAAAAGCCCATAGTCGAAACGGGTGGGCTTTAGTTAATGGCGCTATGCCGCTATGGATGATACGGCTGGCTGTCAACGGGCCGAGCTTGGGCGAGCCAGCATTCTAGGCTCGGCAGCTCGACCTCGACACAAACTTGGTCTCAATCCCGGCTCGGCTCGTTGGTCAGGCTTGAGCTCGGCTCGTATGCGGAAGGTAGTATAGCATTTTGTGTAGTGGTAATCAGCATCGACCATTGCAAATTCAGTTGTACCTTGTACGGCGATGCATGAAGCTCGCAGATAGAAAAAAAAACTCCACTCACATTCTCTCGGGAAGTGGAACCTAGGACACCAGAAGGGCTACTAGAGCCACCTAACCAGTCCGAGTAGGCTGGTATTCGTGAAATTTGGGCCTTGTTTAGATTGGGGTTAGGAATCAGTATTTGGCACTGTAGCACTTCCGTTTGTATTTGACAATTATTGCTCAATCATGGCCTAACTAGGCTCAAAAGATTCATCTCGTAATTTACAATCAAACTATGTAATTAGTTATTTTTTTATCTACATTTAATACCCCATGTATGTGTCCAAAGATTTGATGTGATGGAGAGAGAGTGAAAAAACTTACAATCTAAACAAGGCCTTGCAAAGAAAAGGCAAACTTCAATGTGATGTGATTGGCGAGCTTCAAAAGCCAGAGTAGGAGTCTTGGGATTTATTGACAGGATTAGGGCCTCTTTGACACGGCTTATGCCAGTTTCGGCTTCATCTATTTTGCGTAAATCGAGGCACTGTAGCGTGAAGCCGTTTTGTAAGCCAGGGTTAAAATGAACTAGAAGCCGAAAAAGGCCAGTTTTTCTGGCTTCATCGGCTTTAGCTTCACCGGTAAAGCCGTTTTAGATGAGCCGTGCCAAAGGGGGCTTTAGTCTTTGATCGATCGAGGGCCTATTTTGTAGGGCTCTTCTTCGGCTCCTTCGGAGGAGCCCTACCAAACGCTTTTGCAGGAAGAATTATTTGGAGCTGTTTTTCAGTGAAAAAAGAAGTCATGCCATACACCCCCTCAATGTTCCATCCAAAGAGACCTCAGAGTCTTGAAGTCCCCCTATCTTGTATGATAAATACAAACCATGTACCTTGCTGCCTTGCATCATAACTTTTGAACCAGGAAGCAATAACAAAGCATCACAAGTTAGAAGCTCGACAAAGTTTGTCATGAAATATCTGCGCAGATTCTGTTAGCTCTAATTCATACATTCACATTATACTGTACAATATAAATACAACAGCTGCACCACCCTGATACACTGCAGCAAAACCTTGCTCAACCCAGCAGGCTAGACAGATTGCTTACATCTTACTACAAGGCATCGGCCCGGGTGCCTGTGATCAAACTGGAATCAACAAATCCTAACCATTTCTACAAAACTTAGCAATTACTCGGGTCAGTCCAGCGGACGCAGAAAGACTGCCTTTGACTCTTGAGGCATCATGAGCATACGAAGCATAACGAGTTTCTCGATGATGAACCACGCAAAGTGGGAGAGCCACAGTACATGGAGCATCAGTAGGATCCTTCGATAGTGTTCTCTTCTTTTTTTAATCAAGAACATTGAGCATTGTGGAAGGTCTCTAGACAAAGTAGTCTTGTCGCACCACGGTAATGAAATCGCCAGAGAGTAAATCATCCTCTTTCAGTTTTCCTCCTGTTTCACCGTTGCCTTGGATATGCCAATATATTGGGGAAAGAGGAGCGTACAGATCTGTAGTTGTAAAAGAAAATTAGTTAGTTACATTGTATCGCTTTTGATACGAGATTCAGATTTCATAAGCCAAAAGATTTCACATGGAGAAGTGGATATCTACATAAAAAGGCCTTGCAAAATAATCTAGAAACAAACTTTAAAGAATTTAAAAAGGACACCCGTGTCAGCAGTCAGCACATCAAAAGTGGTTGGTGGCTGGTCCAATTTCAAAAACTTAGAAATGGTGGACCATCTCTTGATCCATAAATAATGTCCTGACAACAATTGTCAACAGAATAATCTCCAGGTACTCGTAGCAAATCACTAAATAACTTTTCAATTCAACCAACTTTGCTGCTAGAAAATTGACCAACTTTAGCAGGGATTGTAGAATTGGTACCCAATACAATAGTAGCATAAAGTACCAACTCTTAACAACTACAACTTCTATGCTATAATCAACAATACAAGGCTGGCAAGGGAGAAATGGGTAGTTTGAAACAAATTTACCATACAGGTTTTCTAGTCAACGACTTTCCCTGCTGCAAAATTTAATAACTTCAGTAAGATTGCCAAATTGATACTCTGTACGACCATAGCGCAAAGTAAGAGCTCTAATGCTATAAGGCTACTAATTTGGAAATGGGCAATTTATGACATCAGTGACCAAAGGTCTTATGCTAATTCTGGGAGAACCTGGTAAGCATGTTTGCATAATGTAGTCGTCAAGCCAAAAGTGCATTGATTTATCACATAGCAAACATTCATCTTTCCAGTAGAGAAGCATTTACCTGAAGAAAGGGTTGGATCATGTTCTCTTGTAGAATGCAGTACAACAGTACCAGTAAGCACAGTAAGAAACCCACAAATCTCAGAGGCAATACTGCTTATACTCTGCCCAGACCAGTCCTAGTTGTAATGAAAAATCCTTAGTTCAGCAAGAACAAAATATTTGGAATTTATGGAAGTTTTCAAAATTAGAATACCTTGAACATTATGGCACTTGCTAAAATTGTGAGGGATGTGAACATCGCATAGTAGATGGGAGAAACAACTGCAGTATTGAAAGTATCCAATGCCTGGAAGTTCAACATGATGTGGAGATGCAAATCAACATCGCAAATGTTGTTACCTAAATTTTTAACTTAATCCTGGCTGTACCTTGTTCAGGTAAATTAACTGAATAATTATGCATGTTGCTGAAACAGTTGCAAACAACCAAGTCTGGAAATAGCCAGCCTGGTTTATACCCTCAATTGTAAGCTTGATAGCAATGCCTACCGCCTTGATGCTCATTACCTAGCAAAAGAAAAGGCAAAGAAACACTCCATAAAAACCAAAACGAAGTTGGTCTCGAAGGTATGCCAATGGACATCATTTACCGTCAAAGATCCTATCACTGAGCAAATTCCCACATACACCACTATGTTGGTCTGGCCATAACGGGGTGCGCAGTGAAGTATCAAGATCAGTGAGATCGCCAATGCAGAGACCGCATAACAAAGAAAGGCTGCAGAAAGCAAGGAGAGATATTACACAATGTATGTCAAAACCCAATAGGTTCATTTTGGTGACCCAGCATGTTGTCCCAGAACGCATCACTCAATACTTTTAACTAGACTATGAATTAGGTAAACCATATGAAAAACAAGGCAAACCGGTTATCTTGAAAATCATGTTCTTATTAGGATTTACATCGGAATAAAAAAATTATCAAGATGTATTTTTTCAGATCGTGTTGATATATATAAGACTAGTTATTTAGTATTTATGATAATAGGGAATACCAGGTTGCGTTGCCAAGTGCCAGATCTGTGTCACTGAGCTTGGTGTCTCTTCCTCAGGTGCATGGAGGATGATAACGGTTGACCCGACTATACAGAGCACACAACCCAACACACCCATCCGCTGCAGCTTCTCATTCAGGGTGAAATGGGCTAGAACAGCACTGCTTCGTAGAGATCACACACAGGAGCATGTACATGTTTTTTTTTAAAAAAGAAGAAGAAGAAAATACACAAAATTTAGCCATCTCCACTCTCCACATGCTATATAACAGTCATTTAGCAATCACATATTCACAATCTTACCTGACAATTATGCTGAGCGCGCCAAGCGGGGTGACAAGAACAGCTGGCGCAAACATGTAGGCCACAAAATTGGCAATCTCCCCAATCAGCACTGCGAAGTTTCGAGCATTTCAATTATTTCTGCCAGACAGATGCCGTGAAGAATGAGCCAGCCAAAGGAATCAGGAACGTACTCGTAACCATCCCAACCCACCAGAGTGGCTCCAAGAGGTACCCATAGCCTCCAACACCTGCAAATTCCATCACCAACACAGATTCACAAATGTTCGTCGAAGGGAGAAGAAGAGAGCAACGAACTGGTCATGAAAGAGGCTGACTTTTTTCAATTGTTCGTCACGTAGACTACACCGGATGGCTAAAAATAGAACGAAACGAAGAATTCGACGCGCAGCCCACGGGACTAACGACAGAGAGAGAAAGAGAGGAGGCGCCTTTCGGCCGCCGGCGAGGTGACGGAGAGGGGGCGTGCACCTGCGCGGGCGCCGGCGGCGGCCGCACGGCGTAGGCCCTTCTTCTTGACGATGAAGCTGACGCCGATGAAGGCGGAGGAGGCGACTGCAAGGAGCGCGCCCGTGAGGTTGGCAGCGAAGAGGTCGCCGGCGGCGGCGTTCGGAGGGGCGGGAGTCATCGACGGCGTGCAGCGGCGACGGCGCGAGGCCGGCGCATTTGGGGCGGGCCCAGGTGCGGATTTGGAAATGGAGGTTGGGATCTGTTTTTTTTTTTTTTTGGATTTTTCGTGTTTGAAATTTGTGCTTATTCACCTGGAGAATATGGTGGTGTGTGAGGCTGGACGGAGGAGAGAGAGAGAGAGGCCGCGACGAGAGCGGACAAGTGTCAAGTGTGCAGCTGGAGATGGAAATTCAAGGTGATTAAAGAATGGAAAGGTTTTGCATGCTATGATTCGTTTACGTCTTTGCTTGGAGTACATATGATGCGCACACGGCTGTGATTGCAATGCACATTTGTATGTGTGAAAAGAATTCTAGGGGGAGACATTGGTTACTTTTTTTGTGGGTACATAGGAAGAAAGGAAACATTCATCTCACTATCTCCATCCATTTTTTTCCGTAAATTTTGAAGATATTATTTTAAAAATGATACTCCATCCGTTCTTTAAATATATGACGTTTTCGATTTCATAGATACATTATTTTTGTCATATAGACATCGAGTATATCCAGTGCATAACAAATGTATCTAGAAAAGCCTCGTTGGCACCGGTTCAAATAAAAATCTAAATTAAATGCATAGCTATAGATGAAATCTTTGCATGTATAGCATCGTGTTTGCATGTGTAGCACTTAACCACACATTAATTTCCTCTCTCTCTAACACACACATACACTACTAATTTAGATTACCATTTTTGTTTTGTTTATATTCAAACTTGCTTAGAGCACCTTCAAGAGTTTCCAAAACTCACTCGCAGTCTTGATTTTTTTTGTAAGATTGAAAAATTTGCTCTCCAACACCTCTGTATCTTAACTCCCAACCAGTGGTGTGGAAATATATGAGTTGTATCGATCCGATCGATCGGCGGATAGGGTTCCTAATGCAAATATCCATGAGGGAAAGAAATTATAAAAGTGGTTAGAGAGATTTGCAAATAATCTAGGTTTTTTATGAAATTGTCTTCTATATTTTAGGAGCACTATTTTAGAAACCGTTAGAGAAGCCCAATAAATATACTCCCAATTTTTTTAAACTCGCTGATTTACTAATTGATGATTTTTTTTTAGAAACTATTGGGGATGTTAGATCGTCACCTTTGGTCGCTGAATTTTACATGAAACAAGCAGATGTAGGTATCGGTGTGTCCATAGCAGAACCCACGAGAACCAAAGCCAACCGAACTAATGCTAGCGGAGTTGTTAGATGGGATCAAAAGGTGGCACGATTTGCGCAATGGCGCCTCCTCCTGGTACCCGCGACAGCGCACGGCCCACCGCCCACACCCATACGCCTCCTCCCTGTCGCGATCCAGATCTCATCACGCACCACCGGCCGCGCGGGACGTGGTGGTCCCAGCGGCCAGCGCTGCCTGTGCCTGCACCGCTGCACGTACACCTCCCCGCGCGCTGCCGTCCCGCGACTGCGAGTGATGCTCCTCCCCCAGCCGGGCGCCGGCACAATCCGCGATTGGCCAACCAACCTCCTTCCCTCTCCCGCCGGCCGCCGCCCCTCCCGGCTCCCGCTGCGGCACGTTCCCATTCGGGCTCGTTTGCTCGGGGGAATTGGTGGGAGGGAATGGGAGTTAGAGAGGAGGAACTGCCGTCGGCTGCGGGTTTTCACGTGCCCTGTCCCTGTCCCTGTCCGTCCTCGTCCTCGTGGCTCGTCCTCTGGCGCGCTTGGGTCTCGCTCTGTCGCCGCGCGACGGGGATACGGCCGGTTTACTTTTTTGGAATGTTATATTTCGGTACCGGTGCATTCCGTTGTACCATTCCGGATTTTTATGATTTTATGGAATATATAAATTATTTTTTATATCTAAACTTTTCTAATACGAGAAATTAGACCATCATTCCGGTGTACCATTCCGCATTCTGGTATGTTTGGGCCAGCCTGTAGGAACGCACTAAAAACAGTAGAGGTAGTTTTGGTAGTCAACGTAGCAAAGTAAATCGGATTTAACTCCGGCCATACGTCCACAGCCTCCTACCTCCTAGTACTCCAACCAGCAAACCAATGTGAATTCACCAGACGAGGCAAACGACGGGAAGAGACAGGAGGCAAGAAGAACCAGCACTGCTTTTTGCGTCATTTTCGTTCCTGGCCGGCTATCATCAGCGACTCAGCGCATGCAGCAGAGCCAAGAAGCAGGCAGCGTCTTCCTCCTCCGTGCATCGACCTAGCGAAGCAGAGAAGTAGAACGATTTCGTCAGTTCCTCCTCCGCATCGACGGTACCGGAATAGCCGAGACTCCCAATCCCGCCCGGAATGGCCGGAATCACCCGAGACAACCGGTATCGTCCGGAATTTTGGCCGGTACGGGATGCAGCTTCGTCTGCTCCGATTTGAGTGGCGGTACGAGTTATACCGGCTGTAATGACCAGTACCGGAACGAAATTGATAACTATGGTCTCCAGGGCCCTAAGGTTCTGCGCGCCAATTACATCTCACGGGAGGGGGAGAGAGTTTACATCCATACAATTGATCTGCAAAAGCTAGAGAGCAAGGGATGTTGTTGATCTGCAGGCCGCTACCAATCGATCCACGCTAGGAGGAAGCCCCCGGAACACTACATCATGTCGGTATTTCCATAATTCCCAGCAGCATAGCAGGATCAGTGTCGAGGCCGCTCTGGCAGGGGTCCCATCAGGCGGCTTAGTGCACCATAAATATTCACTCACTAGTTCGGTCGTCTTGAGTTTTTAGTGCCTAAAACAATTTGTAGAAGCTTAAAAAGAGCGTACTAGTATAAATTAATTTAACCAAAGTAAACATGTTTAAATTTAAATATATGCTTAGACATAGATAAACAGCATCTTACGTCATATTTGCTTCTGGCGTTCAGTTCGCGGTGGTTTAGTTGGTACTACTTTTACAGTAGGTAACAAGCAGACAATTCTTGATCCCGTATGATTTCGTGTCTAAATTTTCCACGTGTGTATTATATATATAGTGTTACGTACGACGATCACTAGCTTGGTTACTTTTCTCACTGATTAAGAACAACTGTTACTGCGTAACTGACTTTCACGGTCGGTTTCTTCCAAACAGCTAGTAGGCTACTAGCCTATCACTGTCGGGTTTTTTTTGCTTGAACCAGTAGTGGTAGGACCAATTGACACTGATATTGTCATCGAAATGTCAACGGGGAATTCCCCGTCGAGGGTTACTGCCCCATCCCCGTCCCCGCGGAGGCAAATTTCCTTCGTCCCCGTCCCATGAAGGCTCGCGGGGAGCACTTCTTCCCCATCCTCGTCCCCGCTCGGGGATTTAATCCCTGCGGGGATCCCCATCCGCGCATCCCTTCTTGCCGTCGACGGTGACGACCACCTCGCCGTCCCTGGACCCCCACTCGTCCCTGCGGCACGTGACCATGACCTCGTGCTTGGCGTCGTCGTCGCGGAACCTGCAGCGCGTCGTGTGGACCAGCTGCGCCTGCGCGGCGGCGACCGGAGGAGCAGCAGGAGGGCAGGAGGAGAAGGGCCCGCGGGGTAGTACTTGGTCTCCGCCGTGTCCCAGTAGATGGAGACCGTCGTGCCGGCGTCGGTGACGAAGGACCGCGTCCCGTGCTGCGCGGGCGCCGGGGCTAGGTACTGACTACGCTGCTGCGTCTGCGCACAACTGGAGGCACCGCCGCTGTGGGGGAGAGGGAGAGGCGCCGCTAGGGCTTGCCCGCGACGCCATCTCGGGGTCGTCGGTGTCGGGTCGGTCGACGGGTTCGGGTGGGGGCGGCACGGCGATGGCAGGTCGGTGGAGCCAGATCCATCGCCGTCGATGTCGGTGGTGGCCGGATCCGTCTCCACCGCTCCTCTGGCTGGGCGCTGCCGGTGCTGTGGGCGAAGGGCACCGCGCCTTGCATGACAATTGTGGGGGGAGAGGTAGAGGGAGGGACGCTCGGGCTTGGGAGCCTGCTGCTTGTTGCCTTCTGGAAAGAGGTAGCAAGGGAGCGGAAAGCGACTGCTGCAGCTGGGAGCGGGAGGAGATTGCGGCGGCTGCGGCTGGAGGCGAGCGTGCGAGAGCGAGAGCGAGAGCGATAGAGCGGCAGCTGCGGCTGCGGCTGGAGGACGGGAGTGAGTGACCGGATGGGGATTGAGGAATTAGGGCTAGATGGCGCGTTATATACCTCCGTGACTTATTGGGCCTTTACATGGGCTGGCACCTAGGCTGCCTGCTGCGCTCTTCGCGGGGCGGGTTAGCGGGGATCGGGGTCGGGGACCAGGCAACCATCCCCGTCCCCGCGCATCCTCGACGGGGACAGCATTCCTACCAAATCCTTCCCCGTGGGGATTAATTCTCCTCCATCCCCATCCCCTAATGGAAGAATTCACCGCGGGGAATCAGGGATCGGGTCCCCATTGACATATTTAGATATTGAGGTCATCGCTGTCGGTTTCTTTCACTGCAGGTTTTTTACCTAAACACGAAAGCGCAGGTAATGCCAGTTGGCAAAGTGACGTTAAGCATCCCTAGCGGTATCCTTTTGAAAGAAAAGTCAGTCTCTCTAAAAAAAAGCACTTCAACACTGCCATTTTCTCACTTGAACCGGTAGTATGCTTGAACAGAGTAGTGATAGGCTACACGGAAAACTTTATAACTTTCTCATATGATGTCTGATGAAGACGAATTTTATACCAAAGTTGTAGTACTTTTCGAGATCTACAACTTTTTAGGTCAAACTTTTTGGATTTGAGGTCGTTTGGATGTCTAAATATATATCACAAGATTTTATAGAGTTAATACCAAATGAGTCCATATGCTCTAAAGTCACTGGTGAGTGTTTAGTTGTAGAAAAGGATCTTGGATAGAAAAACAAAAACAAACAAAAGTTGTAGATCTTGAGAAGTTCTGTAACTTTGTAGTTCACAACTTTTTTTATTTAAAGTTGTTTTGATGCTGAAATATTTGTTTCACAAGATTTTATAGAAGTTAATAGCAAAGAAATCCATGTGCTTTATAGTCATAGGTAGGGCTGGATAACGAGCCGGCTCGGCTCGGCTCGGCTCGTTCCGGCTCGTTAAGAAAACGAGCTAGCTCGACTCGGCTCGTTAGGCTCATTATCTTAACGAGCCAGAAAGCCACCTCTACTCGGCTCGTTTACGAGCTCGAGTTGGCTCGAAGCTCGCGAGCCAGGTATAAAAAAATACACAAAATATAATATTTATATTTATCTAGAGCTTGAGAATAGTAATAACGCAAAAGTAACACATCCAACAGCCTTAAATCCAACAAAATATTCATATGTGCTGACATATATACAAGTATAATAATATACTATAGTATTACATCATACATCCATGGTACATACTCCATATCATATATAATGCGTCCATGATTATCCATACATCCACTAAAAACAAAATAATAAAGTCATAATAATCCCAAGTTTATAGAGTCTAGACAAGTCATCAACAAATTGTAAAGTGTAAGACATGAAGGCCCCGTTCGTTGGTCTGAAATTTGGCTGAAACTGGCTGAAAAACACTGTTCCGGCTGAATTGTTGTGAGAGAAAAACACTGTTCCGGCTGAAAAAAGAAGCCGAACAAGCCATTTTTAAGACAAGCGAACGGGGCCGAAGTAATACAAAACTAATATAAGTTATGTTGATTTTTTTCGGGCGTAGCTCGTTTGGCTCACGAGCGGCTTGCGAGCTGGCTCGAGTTGGCTCGTTATCGGCTCGTTATGATAACGAGCCAAGCCAGCCACGAGCTGAGCGAGCTAACGAGCTTCGAGTTTTTTTTTGTCCAGCCTTAGTCATAGGTGAGTGTGTAGTTATAGTTAAGGATCTCGGATGGAGAAGTGACCAAAACAAAAATTGAAGATCTCGAAAAGTTATGCAACAATGTAGTTGATAACTTTTTCATTTGAAATTGTCTATCCAGCCAAAATTACATTTGAATTCTCATATTTGAAATTTGAATTTTTCAAATGATCTCGGATGGAGAAACAACCAAAAGAAAAGTTGTAGATTTCGAAAAGTTATGCAACTTTATAGTTAACAACATTTTCATTTGAAATCATTTATCCAAGAAAAATTATGACCGAATTTTCTCACATTTGAATTATGACCGAATTTTCTCACATTTGAAATCATTTATCAGCCGGCTTTAATACCAGCCGGACAGGCCTATATATTAGTACAAACTGATTTATCCAAAACAATCATATTTACATATGTCACATATGTGCTTATAGACATAAATAAACCGTTACTGTTAAATAGCACAAACCCACCTTGCCCTAAATTTGCTCATTATATCTTGGAGATGTTTCTCTCCTATCTTCCTTTCTACTTTTACTCTCATTTGTGTTCTTTTTACTAGAAGTTATTTTCTTTTGTATTAGAACACCAAGACCTTACATAACTTCCACTATTTATATGCTCATAGCATAGTGCGGCAACATGTTCTTGAAGTCGTGTGTAGAGCTCAATGGATGTTGTGTCAGGCGGTGTGCAGTGTGTGCTTGGTGCCTCCGGCCTGCACTTACTCCAACCATTTTTTTTAAATTCTCGCTTATCCGGAGTTAAATATTTCTAAATCTGATTAAATACATATAATACTAATATCTATGATGTGTAACAAGTATTACTAGATTAATCATAAAATATTTTAATAATTAATATATTTTAAAATATAATTATTGATTTATCAATCTAGTCAAACCTAAAATTATTTAACCTACTCCCTCTGTTTCAGAAAAAATGCAATTCGAGCACAGTGTTATGTTTTAGAATCTTAAGTTTGATCAATTATAGATTAAAAAAATATTAATATTTATAATATCAAATAAATACTATTAGAGTCTGTTTAGACCTCTAGAATTGAATTGAATCGAAATCATATTGTTCGGGTAGCCTTCCTGGCTCTGTTTCGAACTACAAACGACAATTTCAATCGATTCCAAGGTAAAGATTCTTGGCTTCAAAACTGGAAAGCACAATTCCATTTTGTTATATGATTTACTTGCCCGCTTCCTCATCCTTGGAAGTAGACTTGTTCCACGTGAGTATTGGACCAACCACAACACCCTCAAAGGAGCACAATCGACCGTGCCTACTCAAATATGATGGGAAAGCATTTCAATTTAAGGCCAAACAGACCGTTAGATTAATTACGAAATGTATTTTTATAATAAATTTATTTGAAGTTATAAATGTGAATATTATTCACTGAAAACTTGATTAAATGTGAACTATTTTACTTGGCACGAAACCAATAGTTGCATTGTTTTTAGATGAGGGAGTATTTTGTTAACGTTTGACAATACACTGTAACAATGCACAAACCGGCGTAGTAACCATTTGCTGCAAGCATATTGCGTGCGCCTTTGAAGTAAACAGTGGCACAAAATTTAAGTGGCGACCTATTACTGATGTGATAGACCTCTATAACTATACAAAAGAAGACATTTTTTTTGGAAACAAAGAATTTGAGTGGGGGCATGTGCCCCCGCTCCTTGTGTACTTCGTTGCCTTGATTAGTTTAAATTAAGTAATCGTGTTACACAAGTCTTTATTCTTATATTATCACGTCAACCTTGAATACTTGTTATCTTGAGATACCTAAGCGAGTTAATCTAATCTACGCAGGTTTATGGGTGCATGATAGCTTCATAGCTCATGCATCCATGATACGTTAGTGGCAGAATTTTTTTTTGCTCTCTCTAAATCTAAAGAAAATGGAGTAGCTAGTTTTCGGCCACTGCGACCCATACACATACACCACCAAGTTTGACAAAATTATTTATTAGCCAAAAGGCTGATCATATAAAATACGGGAATGTGAACCTACACAAAAGTACAAAATCATTAGCAAATTCTCTTCTTGCTTCTTCATCAGATGTGTTATCAGCAAAAATACCAACAGCAATAATCTCCAATGCCTACTGCCTGCTGGTGCGTGGGCTGATTGTATTTGTAGCCGTAGGAATGAAGGAAACCCATCGTCGTGCAGCAAAATTGGGCCTTTGTGCATATAGTTTCGTGGGTCGAGTTCTTTTAGCACGGGCCATGCATATAATTTCGTACTTCCTGGGCCTGTGGCCCATAGGCTCTGTATTGACTGTCCACTTCGAGTCAACTCATCCTGCCGGTCCTGCTCCCGGTCCACAGCACTTCAAGTCGGCTGACCGCAGCGCGCCCAGCAGCCAGCAGGAGATACGATACGGTTGCCGACCTAATCCAGCGGCAGCCAGGCACTCACCAAGCAAACCTCTTTAAATCTGGCCCCTTACGCGCAGCCGGAGAGGGGCATCACCCCGTGTGCGTGTGTCCTCGCCGCCCGCCCCAATCCCCTCCATCTCAAAAAATGGGAATTGTCACCGCCGCCGCCGCCGCCGCCGCCGCCGCCGCCACGTGCACGTCCCGACTCCTCCACTACCACGCAGCCGCTGGCACCGACCGGCATCACCGGCACCAGCTCAGGTACTCCGCGAGTCCGTTTCCTCTCTCGCTGCGCTGCGGCTCCTGCCGGCGTGAGGCGGCGGCCCGGGCGCTCCTGCCCGACCGCGTCACCCCGTTCTCCTACGGCGTGGAAGAGGACGCGGATGACCACCCGCGCGAGGAGTGCGGTCTAGTCGGGGTCGTGGGCGACCCGGACGCGGCCTCGCTGTGCTATCTGGGGCTGCAGAAGCTGCAGCACCGCGGGGAGGAGGGGGCCGGGATCGTCGCCGTGGGCGGGGACGGCAAGCTCAAGTCCGTGACCGGGCTGGGGCTCGTGGCCGACGTGTTCGGGGACCCGTCCCGGCTCGCCTCGCTCCCGGGCCCCGCCGCCATCGGGCACGTGCGCTACTCCACGGCAGGCGCCGCCGCGTCCCTGCGCAACGTGCAGCCGTTCCTAGCCGGGTACCGGTTCGGGCAGGTCGCCGTGGCGCATAACGGCAACCTCGTCAACTACCAGGCGCTGCGGAACAAGCTCGAGGCCAGGGGATCCATCTTCAACACGTCCTCGGACACGGAGGTCATCCTCCACCTCATCGCGACGTCGCTGTCGCGGCCGCTGCTCGCCCGCGTCTGCGACGCCTGCGAGCGCCTCGCGGGGGCCTACTCGCTCCTGTTCCTCACGGCCGACAAGCTCTTCGCCGTGCGCGACCCGCATGGGTTCCGCCCGCTGGTGATGGGCCGCCGCCGGAACGGCGCCGTCGTCTTCGCATCGGAGACCTGCGCGCTAGACCTCATCGACGCCACCTACGAGCGCGAGGTGGAGCCCGGGGAGGTGGTCGTGGTCGACCGCCGCGACATGTCGGTGGCCTCGGCCTGCCTCGTCCCGCACCGCCCCCGCCGCTCCTGCGTCTTCGAGCACATCTACTTCTCGCTGCCCAACTCCGTGGTGTTCTCCCACGCCGTCCACGAGCGCCGCACCGCCTTCGGGCAGGCGCTGGCCGAGGAGTCCCCTGCCCCGGGCGCCGACGTCGTCATCCCGGTTCCCGACTCGGGCTTCTACGCCGCGCTCGGGTTCGCACGCTCGTCGGGGCTCGAGTTCCAGCAGGGTCTCATCCGTTGGCACTACAGCGGCCGCAGCTTCATCCAGCCGACGCAGGCGATCCGGGACCTCGCCGTGAAGCTGAAGCTCGCCCCCGTGCGCGGCGTCATCACCGGCAAGAGCGTCGTGGTCGTGGACGACTCCCTGGTGCGCGGCACCACCTCGAGCAAGATCGTGCGGCTGCTCCGCGACGCCGGCGCGCGGGAGGTGCACATGCGGATCGCGAGCCCGCCCGTCGTGGGCTCCTGCCTCTATGGCATCGACACGCCGAGCGAGGGCGAGCTCATCTCCAACCGGATGGACCTGGATGGCGTGCGCCGGGAGATCGGCAGCGACTCGCTCGCCTTCCTCTCGCTGGGCAAGCTGCACAGCATCTACGGCGAAGAGTCGGGGGACTACTGCGACGCGTGCTTCTCGCGCAAGTACCCTGTGCTGCCCACGCTGGCCGACCCGGTCGCCGAGCCGGAGGAGTGAGCCGCGAGCAGGTGAGCTCTGCTCTGCTTCGTCTGCCTGTACTTCTAGGTTGTTGGATTCAGCTCTGTTCGGAGTGTTGGACAATTTTGCGCGCCTCAAGGCTGTAGCTTTATATGATGAGAAGCGCTTTATCATGGTACTGATGGATTACCAATAAGAAAATGACAAAAGCCAAAATCTGGTAGTTGTGTCAGCCCTTGCTGTGCCGTTGTGCTCTCTATCACGTTATTACTGCTGAAGTGCTGATCAAATTATCCATGTCATTGCTAAATTTTGGCTTCGTCAGAACATAAATTTGGCCTGGCGCAGTGGGGTCAGGCTGCTAGCTAAACGCACCCTAAAAATCTTATTTTGCACAAATTTATCCTTTGTGAAGCAACTTCACAATTTTTTACCCAGAAGAATCAACAGCGAGTGAAATCATTATTGCGCCCCATGACCTCACTAGTACTACTTGGGCCGTAGTTCACTTTCATTACCATTTCCCGATAGCCCATTATGTTTTTCAAGAACACTGAAGAACGCTACTACCTGCTATCCATCTAACGCGATAGTACTACACCATCTCCTTGCTTATACTTTTTTTTTCAGCCAACGAATAGTATTTTTTTTTCACAACAAATTAGCCAACAATATTTTCAACCATGGTTTATCAGCCAAACGAACATGGCAATACATATGCTGATATGCATGCTTCTGTGTCCATGGGTCAGTGATTGCCTGCGTTTCTCTTGTAAACGTAAGACGTTGAGAAGTAGGCGAAAGCGAGAAGCTCCAACGCGGTGAGCGCTGCAAGGAGAAGGTAGAAGTAGTCGAGGTGACCCCGGTTGAGGTCGTCGGCGAACCAGCTGGTACCGCCATTCCTCGTCGTAACGCCATCGATCACCGTGATGAGGATGCTGCTGATGAAGCTGCTGACGCCAAGGACGCTCAGGTAGAGAGCCAGCCCGAGGCTCTTGAGCGCCCCGGGGACCTGGTCGTCGAAGAACTCCTGCATGCCGACCATCGTGAACACGTCCGCGGCGCCGAGGAGCACGTACTGCGGCACGATCCACCACAGGCTCATGGGGACCGCTGACGTGCCAGAGCCATCCACCACCACCAGGCCGCCTGCGGCGTCCCTCGCCGCTCGCAGCCGCTTCATCTCCACCAACGCGGCGACGACTAGAGTGACAAGGGACAGCGCGATCCCCGTGCCGATCCGCTGCAGCATGGTGATGCCCGAGGCGACGCCGGAGACCCCGCGCGCCACGGGCACCAGGACGCGGTCGTACAGCACGATGCAGCTGACGATGCTGGCTCCGAGGAAGCACTGCAGCACCGCGGGGGTATCTGGAACGACTGCCCGACCCTCCGGTCCAGCGTCGCCGCCTGCTTCGTGAAGAGCGTGGGCGGCTGCGCGAACACCACGCCGTAGAGCAGGCACGTCGCCCATATCGGGAACAGCCTTGCCAGCCCCTTCACCTCTTCCGCGAGCACGGCGTCCTGCGTGAGCTCATCACCGTGTCCCAGCTCCACCGACCCGGCTGCTCAACGCGGCCTCTTCCTCCAGGCCACGAAGGCCTTGCGGACTAGGGAGAACGTGCTGGCACTGGCACCACCGTCGTAGAACCTGTAGGTCCTCGTGCCAAGCAGGAAGATGACGAGCGCGAGTAGCATGGCCATGGACGGCACGCCAAAGCCGAGGGCCCAGCCGATGTTGTCCTGCACATAGCTCATGAGCGCAATCGTCACGGTGCAGCTCGTGCAGAGCCCCATATACCACCAGTTGAAGGATGTTAACAGAATAAATATGTATGCATAACAGAAACGTGTGTACTGAGATAACTACAAGATAGGGATTAGTTTTGATAGATCAATCTGTAAAGCTACGGCTGTTAGCATCTCCCTATTTTTAGCTAGTTTGGTACGGTGTAATCTATATATGTACACGCCACGGTCGAGGCTGTTTCGTCCATTTTTTAATTAACACGCAATCACCGGCGAACCCAAGCTAGGGTCACGGTGTTCCTCCTATCCCGCGCCTCTGATCTTTCATGGTAATCAGAGCATACTAAAATACTAAAATTAGCGCCATGTCTTCCTCCAATTCCTCCAATCCCTCATCCAATCCCTTCTTCGGCCATGCTGTTACGGAGAAATTAGGAAAGCTAAATCATGCGCTGTGGAAAGCACAAGTTCGCTCAGCCATACGTGGCGCCCGTCTTCAGGGTACATCAATGGCGACCGAAAAGCTCCGGCGAAAGAGCTGGTCGTCACCACCGACGGCAAGCAAGAGAAGACGCCGAATCCGGCTTTTGAAGAATGGGAGGCCATGGACCAGACTGTCCTGAGCTTCCTCCTGTCGTCTCTCTCCAAGGAGGTGGCGACTCAAGTCTCCGGAAGCGAGACTGCAGAAGCGGTCTGGAACGCCATCGAGCAGATGTACGCTTCTTAGACGCGTGCACGCACCGTCAACCTTCGCATCGCCCTCGCCAACACCAAGAAAGGGAACTCCACTGTCGCCGAATACTACGCCAAGATGAAGGCGCTCGGTGACGAGATGGTAGCCGCTGGGCGCCGTCTAGATGATGAAGAGCTGGTCGAGTACATTCTCACTAGACTTGGAGAAGAGTACTCTTCCCTGGTCACAGCCCTTACAACAAGGGTTGAGCGCATCACAATGGGGGAGCTGTACTCACAGCTTCTCAACTTCGAAACCCACATGGATCTGACCTACGGAAACAGCTCCGGGTCGACCAACACTGCAAGCTGAGGACGCGGCGGCTTCTCCAGAGGCGGTGGTCGCGGCCAAGGAGGGCACGGCGGCCAGAACAACCAGCGCGGTGGCGGACGTGGACGTGGTGGCTCGCTGTCACGTGTCCGTGGCAACTCCAATCGGGGTGGCGGTCGTGGCGGGTTCGGCAACAACAATCACCGCGTCATGCCATCTGAAGATGATGATCGCCCGCTTTGCCAAGTGTGCTTCAAGCGCGGGCACACGGCGGACAGGTGCTAGCACCGATTTGATGAAGATTATGTGCCAGATTTGAAGCTTGTCGCTGCTGCCATGAACACCTACACCGTCGACACCAACTGGTACATGGATACCGGCGCCACCGACCATATCACCAGCGACCTAGAGAAGCTGTCTTTCAGGAACAAATACCATGGGGGTGATCAAATTCACACCACCAATGGTGCAGGTATGCATATTAGCCATATTGGTCACACTACTTTTCATACCCCAAATTGTGATATTCATCTTAAAAATGTCCTACATGTTCCTCAAGCCACAAAAAATCTTGTATCTGTTCATAAGCTAGCTTATGATAATTCTGCATTCCTAGAATTTCACCCTGATTTTTTTGCCATTAAGGATCAAACTACGAAGAAAACCATCCTTAAGGGGCGATGTCACCAGGGGCTTTATCCTATTCCTGCCACTTCAATAAAGCAAGTCCATGGTGTCTTCAGGGTCTCTGTGTCCAGATGGCATAGCCGCCTAGGGCATCCCTCGTCTAGTATTGTGAAGCAAGTTATCAGTAGCCATAATCTTCCTGTTTTAGATGAATCTTCTAGTGAGTCGGTATGTGATGCCTGTCAACAGGCTAAGAGTCATCAGTTACCTTATGCAAAATCATCTAGTGTGTCTTCTGCTCCTTTGGAACTTGTTTTCTCTGATGTCTGGGGTCCTGCTCTAGAATCAGTTGGCAGAAAAAAATATATGTGAGTTTTATTGATGATTATAGCAAATTTACATGGATTTATCTTCTGAAATATAAATATGAGGTGTTTCAGAAATTTAAAGAATTTCAAGCTCTAGTTGAACGGATATTTGATCGAAAAATCCTTGCTATGCAGACTGATTGGGGAGGCGAGTATCAAAAACTCAATTCCTTTTTTGATCAAATAGGCATTACCCATCTTGTTTCGTGCCCTCATACACATCAGCAAAACGGGGCTGCCGAGCGCAAGCACCGTCACATAGTAGAGGTTGGGCTCTCTCTATTATCTCACGCCTCAATGCCATTAAAATTCTGGGACGAAGCGTTTACTTCTGCTGCCTATCTCATTAATCGCACACCTAGCCGTGTCATTAATAATTCCACTCCTTTGAAACTTCTATTTCATCATGATCCGGATTACTCCTTCCTTAGAATATTTGGGTGTGCCTGTTGGCCTAATTTACGGCCGTATAATTCACACAAGCTTGAGTTTCGTTCGAAACGTTGTGCTTTTCTTGGATACAGTCACTTACATAAAGGATATAAATGTCTTGATATTGCCACTGGCCGCATATATATTTCCAGGGACGTTACCTTTGATGAGAACATATTTCCTTTCTCTGAACTCCATCCCAATGTAGGTTCACGCCTCTGTTCAGAGATAAATCTCCTTCATCCAACGTTGTCAAATTCTGGGGAAGAAAATGTAGTTGATCAATATGCTAATACCACTAACAGTTTCTCTGGTAGCGTTACTAAAAATGCAGGAGCAAACACAGCTGGCGACATGCAATATCTAGATGTCAGCCTCGGCGCAACACCTGATCCGCTTCTGCAGTCTGACGTGCCTGCGGTCGAAGCAGCGCTGCCCCCGGCCAGTCCTGCGCTATCGCCTGTCGGCGGCCAGGGGGCAAATACAAATTCGCAGCACCAGCAGGAGGCTCCAGTCCTCGACGCCAGCGTCGAGGGATCTTCTATGGCGCAAGAAGAAGTCGTGGGGTCCTCTGCTCTGGCTGTTCCTGGTGTGTCGCGTCCTCACACACGTCTACAGAGCGGCATCAGGAAAGAGAAGGTATACAAAGACGGTACTGTCAGATATTCTTTTCTAACCACATCTGGTGAACCATGGAGTACAAGTGAAGCATTGGCAGACAAAAATTGGAAAGCAGCTATGGACGCAGAATATGGAGCCCTTATGCACAATAAAACTTGGCATTTGGTTCCACCTCAAAAAGGAAGAAATGTCATCGGATGTAAATGGGTTTATAAAATAAAGAGAAAGAAAGATGGAAGTCTGGACAGATATAAGGCAAGACTGGTAGCCAAAGGTTTCAAGCAGAGGTATGGAATTGATTACGAAGATACGTTTAGCCCTGTTGTAAAACATTTCACTATTCTAATCATTTTGTCATTAGCTGTGTCTAGAGGGTGGAATCTTCAACAGCTTGATGTTCAGAATGCCTTTTTTGCATGGATATTTAGAAGAAGTTTATATGCAGCAACCACCTGGCTATGAAGATTCTACAAGATTAGGATATGTCTGCAAGCTTGATAAAGCTCTTTATGGTTTAAAACAGGCTCCTAGAGCTTGGCATGCAAGACTTAGTAACAAGTTAACAAGTCTTGGTTTTCAGGTGTCCAAGGCCGATACATCATTGTTCTTTCTTAATAAAAATGATCTAACTATGTTTGTCCTTGTATATGTAGACGATATCATAGTAGTCAGCTCTACAGGAAAGGCCACAGATGCATTGCTCAGACAACTGAAGAGTGAGTTTGCATTGAAGGACCTTCGAGAGCTCCATTATTTTCTTGGCATCGAAGTGTCAAAGGTACATGATGGTCTAGTGTTAACACAGGATAAATATGCATCAGATCTATTAAAAAGAGTAGGGATGTCAAACTGCAAACCAGTTTCGGCTCCTCTTTGTACCAGTGAAAAATTATCTCTCCATGAAGGGTCACCTCTTGGGCCCAAAGATTCTACACATTATAGAAGTGTTGTTGGTGCTTTGCAGTACTTGACTCTTACCAGACCAGATATATCATACTCAGTAAATAAAGTTTGTCAGTTTCTACATGCACCAACTACAGTTCATTGGGCTGCAGTTAAAAGAATATTAAGGTACTTAAAGCAATGTACATCACTGGGGTTAAAATTGCATAAGACATCCTCTACTTTGGTGAGTGCTTTTTCAGATGCAGATTAGGCTGACAGTGGAGATGATAGAAGATCCACAAGTGGTTTTGCTGTATTTCTTGGGTCCAATCTTGTGTCATGGAGTGCTCGCAAGCAGAGTACAGTTTCTAGATCGAGTACAGAATCAGAATACAAAGCAGTAGCTGATGCAACTGCTGAGGTGATGTGGATACAAACTTTACTTAGAGAATTAAATATTAATAGTCCAAAGGCTGCCAAACTATGGTGTGATAATATTGGTGCCAAGTATTTGTCAGCTAACCCGGTGTTTCATGAAAGAACAAAACACGTAGAGGTTGATTATCACTTTGTCAGGGAACGAGTTGCACGAAGATTATTAGATATTGAGTTTGTCTCATCAGGAGATCAGATTGCAGATGGATTTACAAAGGCATTGTCAGTGCGACTTCTGGAAAACTTCAAGCACAATCTCAACATGACAAAGTTGTGATTGAGGGGGAGTGTTAACAGAATAGATACGTATGCATAACAGAAACGTGTGTACTGAGATAACTACACGATAGGGATTAGTTTTGATAGATCAATCTGTAAAGCTACGGCTGTTAGCATCTACCTATTTTTAGCTAGTTTGGTACTGTGTAATCTATATATGTACACGCCACGGTCGAGGCTGTTTCGTCCATTTTTTAATTAACACGCAATCACCGGCGAACCCAAGCTAGGGTCACGGTGTTCCTCCTATCCTGCGCCTCTGATCTTTCAAAGGAGGCCCGGGACACGGACTCGTCGGGGTCTGTCGCGTCGAATTGGTCCGCGCCGAAGGCCTGGACGCAGGGCTTGTGCCCGCTCTGGGCGATGGCCACCAGGTAGAGGGAGACGTAGAAGAAGGCCGTCTGGAGGGAAGAAGGCGGGCATACACCTTGTCCATCGGCGGAGTCACGGCATTGTTGAGGTGATGAGAGCGTCAGCATCCCAAGGCCCTGCCATTTGCCAAATTTGGGTGAGAGGAAATGATATGCACATACTGTAACTCACACTTGGTGAAAGTGTGGCTTTTGACAAAAGGGCAACGTTTTGATATTCATGCAACAAAGCTTTGTAAAATTTGGCACAGATACATGAACATGATATATGGATATGCATCTTTAAATATACTTCCATAGTTTTGCCGCTCTAATTTATTTGGTTTATAAACATACAACATCAGTACATCACATTTCTTTCGACAAGCAGGCTATTCGCAGGAATCATGTTTTACTCGAAGCATGCCATATATCATCACAGCAGCCTTTGGCTGTTTGGATCAATACGACTATCAACGTTTTTACTACGCTTAATTGGACATGGACATCATACAGGTAGTGTATATTCATTTTTTTAGACGAAAGGTTTCTCCTGCTAAAGCGTTCAAACATTCAGCACAGCGTTTAGGCGCGCCCGCCATCATTCAAAAACAGGTCTCATAAAAGCATGGCCTAGAGGCCTACAGACATCCTCAAGTCTTCAGGATTTGAATCTCCAAGGGACGTAAACGTTTTTTTTGGTTGGATCCGTTTTCTAATCCGAACGGAACATTTGTTACCCAAATTAGACTTAGCGTATATTCGCAAAAAAATAGACTTAGCATGACTCGTTTTTTGTTCCCATATTTGGCCCTTCTTTAGTTCCCACCTCAAAACTTTACACCATGTCACATCAAATATTTAGACATATGCATAGAGTATTAAATATAGACTAAAAAATAATTAATTACACAATTTACGACTAATTAGCGAGATGAATCTTGTAAGCCTAATTAGTCCATAATTTGACAATAAATGCTCAAGTAACACATATGCTAATGGCGGATTAATTAGGCTTACTAAATTCGTTTCGTGTTTACTGACGGATTCTATAATTTGATTTTTTATTAGTATCCGAACACCCTATGCAACACCCCATGTAACATTCGATGTGACTTCCTAAAACTTTACAGGCTGAATCTAAACACGGCGTTAGTTGGTTCCGTTTGTAATTTGAATGCGACCACCGGCCGGTAATGCTCCTGTTTTGCCTCGGAACTGTCAGGATTCACCGAAAGATACAAGGCACGCTTTGATTTCTACTGAAGTCGGCACACTGAAAACGACTGAACGAACCAAAGACGTCTCCAAATAAGAAATGCGCATGCGCAGACGTCGCGTAGTCCTCTTGAATTCAGATTCAGAACGCCCAGGAAAAGACGTCTCCAAGGCCATCTAGGATGATGATGGTTCTAACATGGAAAATGGAGACATTTTTTGTATTGTACGTGAGATAGGATGGATGGTCGTTGCAGGGGCAGGCCGAGCGAGCCGCTCGAGAGTTTACGTGTCCGGCGTCCGGACAACAAGATGCACGGTCAGCTTGCTATACTGCTGAGCTACGGACACTACTGTCACAACTGCCAGTATACATAAACCCAAAAAATACATGAATACGTCAAGTATGAAACACGGTGCATGAGCGTCAGCTAAGCAACCACCAGTTCTTGTCTGATTCTTGGAATCTATTCATCACTCCTCCAGATGAAAAACTTGTATAACTACCTTTTGTTTTTTTTTAAAAACCGACAGGAGTTTTTCTGTACTCATTTTGCCTCATTTTGTGCCGAATTTCATACTCGGAGTGTGGTGGTCGTGGACAGGTCAGCGATCATCGGATTTTTGACACATGCATAAAGTATTAAATATAGATTATTTACGAAACTAATTGCATAGTTTACGACTAATTTACGAGACAAATCTTTTAAGCCTAATTAGTCTATGATTCGACAATGCGGTGCTACAGTAACATGTGCTAATAACGGATTAATTAGGTTTAATAAATTTGTCTCGTGCAGTACCGACGGATTCTGTAATTTATTTTTTATTAGTATCTGAATATTACATGCGATACTCTCATGTGACACCCCTAAATTTTAGTCGTTGATCCCAACACCCCCTCTCCCAAGCAAGCATGGAGCGGAAATTGATTAAGTATGTCGGGGGTGAGATGGAGGAGATCGAAAGCGGTGCGGCGTGGTTGGGGGCTCACCGTGATGTAGAGCACGGAGGAGGCGACGATGGTGCGGTAGCGTCCGAGCCAGGAGTCAGCGACGGTGGCGCCGAGGAGCGGCAGCATGGCCGCGGCGCCCGACCACGCGTTCACCGCCGCAGCGGCGGCCGTCGTGTTTTGCCCGAGCGAGCCGGTCAGGTAGCTGATCAGGTTGGACAAGATGCCGTAGTACGCGAACCGCTCCACCACCTCCACCCCTGCACGCACGCAGCTCCTGCCAGTAAGCGAATCGAATCGAATCGAGGTCGAGGCCGATCGAGCGCCGGCGAGATCGTGGGGGGCAGCGGGGCTTACAGATTATGAAGAGGGCGGACTTCCAGCCGCCCGTGGACGGCGCGCGGCGGCCGGGGAGGAGCGGCTCTGACTCCGAGGAGGCAGGGCCCGAATCAGACGCCATGGCTTGCTGGCGACTGAGGCTGGTGGTGTGCTCGTGGAGTGCGAGCGAGCCCAGAGAACCTCTTCTCAGAGGAGGCGGCGTTGGCACGTCTCGACTAGTTAAGAGGAAGAGAGGAAGGGGCGTGGGCTCTTTCGGAAAGAGAGGAAGGGGTGGGCAGGTGGCAGTCGGTTGCTCCGTCCTAAACCCGCATATAGAGAGCTCTCAGCAAGATTCGATTTTTTCTGTAAATCCGGTCTCTCCCTCTCTTCTTCTCCAAATCCGATAACATTAGAAAGGGCTCGGGGGAGGCAGGCCGGCCAGGCGGTGGGACGATAGGAGGGCAGTGTTCATGCCTGATGACAGCGGAGACGGCCGGGCCAAGTCGGGGTAGGGGCACCCATTTGCCGGAGCACCGCGGAAGGAGGGGGGGGGGGGAAGGAAGGAGGAAGAAGAACAGTTAAATTGAGTGTTGCAACACTCTAGTGCGCAATAGTCAGACTCTAGAAATATATCTAAAATTTGAATGGAACAAAATTTGTTTAGGGAGGAAAAAAAAAGAGACAGACATTCACATATTTGCGAGTGCAACCGTTCATGTCTAATCTGCAACCCCACAACTAATTTGTTTACTTTTCCCTTTTACTTAAATAAATTTCTATTCCATCTTAAAAAATTTATATTCGCATAGATCATGATCTATTCATCCGTATTCTTTTTATAAATTATTATGCACCACTTTACAAGTTTTTGTACCTAGAGATAGAAGTGAGCTAGTCTGTGAACTCATGTATAGCCAAGGTGACAACATATTTGGATAACCCAAAGTCTAATTGGACCCTAGTTGCTTTGAATACACTCTGGACGCGGTCTATTTGGGTTTGGACATCCACCATGTGATCCATTACAATCCAAAAGTTTCATTGGAGATTAACTTAAAATGTTCAAGTGTCCATTGATTTTTTTTCGCCACTCCTAATCAATTTTTTCAATAAGAAGAGAAAGATACAACATAAGGTCCCAGCAAGCCTAGACTTACCAAGGCCAATCCTTCCTTACATGGATAGTCTCATAAGTATCGCCCACAAAGTTTAAGATAAGTAATTAGAGCATCTTCAAGAGCCTTTCTAAATCCCACTCTCTAAATTATCATTTGGAGAGTCATTTGCATAAAAAATATTTTCTATATCTTTTCACTTTCCAACAATTTTTCTATATCTCATGCGCACTCTAGAGAGTCAGTCTCGTCTTCTATTTTTTGCTAGTAAAAAATCTAGAATAGAAGATGGCTATATTTGGATGACCATTTAGAAAAGTTGTTGAAGAGTAGTTTTTCACCAAAATCTCTGTTCCTAGCATTTTAGAAAGGATATGAAGAGTCTGTTGAAGATGATTGTCGGGGACCAATACTAAGTACCCGAAGAGGAGCTAGTAACCATCAACATTGATTCGTCCAAGCAGTCAAAAGCGCGACTACAGCTCCAACCGACCCCCAGGTGCGCACACTCCGCCTCGCCCGACCCCTGCGGGCCGGCTCCGCCTTGCCCGACACTGAGGCCGCGGGCTCCGCCTCGCCCGACCCCTGAGGGCTGGCTCTCGCCTCGCCCGACACCGAGGCCATGGGCTCCGCATCGCCCAACCCCTGAGGGTCGGCTCCACCTCGCCCGACCCCTGAGGGTGGCTCCGCCTCGCCCGACGCTAAGGCCACGGGCTCCGCCTCGTCCAACCTTTGGGTTTAGGCTCTGCCTCGCCCGAGCCTTGGGTTCGTGCTCTGCCTCACCCGACCTCTGGGAAGGAACTCCGCCTCGCCCGACCTCGAGGCCGGGGGCTCCGTCTCGCCCGACGGAGACCCATATCGCCGCCAACCACTCCAGGTCCAAGCGTATAGACCTGGATCAAAGCTCTGACGCCAGGGAAGAGACTGGCGTGCCCCAATATAACCCGTGGCTGTGACGGGCCATGGATTCACATCAGGAACAGCATCGGGCGTACCGATATTGTTCTGCCTAACCCTCGTACGGACACTGACAGGCGCATCAGTTCACCACGACGTCTGCCAGGACGAAGTGGAGCGCCATGACCGACAAACGATGCCTGCACATGGCGCCAATGACGGACAGGGCCATGACTGGAAGCTATCCCTGTTGACATCTACAGGGTTGGTGGGACCCGCATAAAGGAGAAGGACCCGGCAATCCTGAAGGACTTCTTCCTCTCGTTGTCTTCTCTTCCTCCACTATAACCCATGCTTTCCCTTAACCTATAAAAGGGAAAGTAGGGCGTCCCACAAGGAGGAGAGGGGGCATCGGACCATCGATCCCACATTCGAACACATCCGAGCTCGACTCAAATCCGAACCGATCGGAACTCATCGCAACACACCACTAGAGACTTGGGACCTTTCCCTCTCTCAACCGTTTGTAACCCCTACTATGAACTTTCAGTGCTAGTAACACGAGCAGCAGCAACGAACTGGACATAGGGATATTCTACCTAAACTAATATAAACCTTGTGTCCTCTTAGCACACCATCCGGGCCAGACGCGCAATATTAGAAATTTACTTGTTGGTGGCAACTCGAAACACCGACAATTGGCGCGCCAGGTAGGGGACCTTTGCGTGTCTCGACATTCACACCAGGGCCCAGATGGCTAGTCATGACCTCAGCTGGGCCCCGGGCGCGCACGTTCGCTTCGAGGACCTGGACTTGATCGTCACAACAGAAGGAGGGTTGGTGATGGCTCCCATCGCTGTCCGACCTCTCCACTCCGCCGGCCTAGACACAATCGCCAAGGCACTTGAGGAGTTGTAGCTGCACGCACCGGAGGCCCACGCCCCCAAAACAACCAGCTCCTCGACTTCAACTACGGGAGGTTGGAGCACTAGCTCGGTGCCTTCCTAGGACCCCAGCCGTCCCGAGAGGACCTGTGCCACCTCACCTTCTCATTCGCCAATGTCATGGCACAACTTGTCGGAGAGGAGCCGCTCTCTCTGGAATACCTCATCTGGAGCGCCCCGACAGTGCTCTTGTTCGGTCTCCGCAACATCGCAGACACCGATGGCCACCTTGTGGCGCAACGCGCGCCTCCTTTCCCCATGAACGACAAATTCGTGGGGATGACCAAACATATCATGGAGTCTTTCCACGATCTCCTCGCAGAGGAAACAGAGTCGCCCTCTGCCTCTGACTTCAACAGAGGGAGCCATCACCCCTCTCATGAGTGTTTTATGACAGGTACCCCCGAGGGACACATCGAAAGCATCCACAAGGAGGAGGCTACCCCGACAAACGACCTCAACGACGAGGTCGAGGGGGAGATAGGGGCCCCACCCTACCTGTAGGTGGAGTAGCTGAAGGCCTGGCACCTAGAGCTCGAGGAAGCACGACTCCAGCTCGAGCAGGAACATGCGGAGCTCGATTGGGAGATCGAGCGCCACGGAGACGGTGGGCGCGCGCGCCATGGCCCGCGACATGAATCGGAGGATCATCACGGACGATGAAGCCCTCCCACACTTCGCCCGGGCGTGCCAGAACATTGCTGTTGCGGTGGGTTTGCTCTGTGGGCTTCCGGGGCCCAGAACGCCCGAGGATCATTGGGCCCACCACGAGATTCGCACGCTGCTCGAGCGTGCGGCAGCGCAACAGGCCGAGAGCTCACTGTCTCCACGACGTGAGCTCGACACCGGCCAGCGCACGCCCTCATAGCACCCCGACAAGGACGTATCAGTCCACCAGGCACCACAAGGTGGCAGGTAGTGCACCACAGTCCTGATGCATCAGCGTCTCGGCCGCAACCGTGATGCACGCGACACCCTCGACGCCCGCAGACGCACCCACGATGACCAAAGTGACGGTGCTAGCCATGGCCTATCACCCTCATTGTGGCAAAGGCTACGACAGTGGCGAGGACCGAATCCTGAGCCCTAGTATACCGGGGCCTTAGGCCTTCGGTCGACACATCCTCAACGCCATCTTCCTACCAAGGTATCGACCACCAACCAACATCCCAAAATACTATGGGGAAACAAACCTCAGACTGTGGCTCGAGGATTATCAGCTAGCCTGCCAGGCCGGTGAAGCCGATAATGACGATTTCATTATCCACAACCTTCCATTATTCCTAGCCGATTCAGCGTGAACATGGTTGGAACACCTTCCACCCAACAGAATCCAAAGTTGGGCGGACCTGAAAGAGATCTTCGTGGGGAACTTCCACGGTACGTATAAGCACCCTAGGAACCCATGGGATCTTAAGAACTACCGACAGAAGACCAGAGAAACCCTCCGTGGGTACATCCGATGGTTCTCCCAGCACTGCAATGAGCTGCCTAACGTCGCCGGTGCCGACGTTATAGGAGCTTTCCTATTTGGGACCACCTACGAGTCCCTGGTTCACAAGCTAGGACGTAAGGGCCATGAACCACCAAGGAGCTCCTCGACATCGCCACCGGCCATGCCTTGGGTGAGGAGGCGGTTGGAGCGATCTTCAACGGCCTCAAGGGCAAGGCAAAATGGGATGAGGACGCCAGCGAAGGCGCCTCCAACCGTCCCATCAAGAAGAAGAACAAGCAGCGGCGCGAGGGCTCGCTCGTGGCCGCTGCCAACCGCAGGGGGGATCGGAAGCCTGTGGATGGCACCTCGAACTACTTCGAGAAGCTACTCGAGGGACCATGCCTGAATCATCCCTTCCCCATTAAGCACCTATACAAGGACTACGACCTCATGAAGCGGTTCTTGGCCAAAGGCTCCAACAAAGGAAAGCACAAGAAGGACCCCGACCCGACCACTGATGATGCTGCAGGGAGGGACGATGGTTTTTCAACGCCGGATGGCTGCCTCATGATCTTTGGAGGGTTGGCAGCCTATGACTCCAAGCGCTGTCAGAAGCTCACGCGCCACGAGGTCTATACGACTGAGTCGGCCACGCCTACCTTCCTCCAATGGTCGGAGTCCACCATAACCTTTGATCGGACCGACCACCCAGAGAGAGTCCCCCAACCAGAGAGATACCCGCTCGTGGTTG